TGAACATTTACAATGAAATTAAACTTCTCGTAAGCAGTAATGGAAATATAAAAACTTATCGGAGCAGAGTACATCGTAGATTAATATCGATATATTCAATAAATCATTGATAACGATCGGTACGTGCAGGGCCGGTTTAAAGTTTTTCAGGCCTGGAACGTTTGGAGAATGACTTAACGGTGATTCTTCATACAAAAATGAGAAAGGGAGAGGCGTGTTGAAATGAAATAAATTTTCATAAATATAAAATAAGACTTATTTTGCAATAAATCATATTGAAATATTTTTATAAAATCCAGTTTCTTTTGTAATTGTTTCATTTTTACAAAAGTTTTTAAAAGAATGATATAAGTAATATAAATATATTGTATATACAGCGTTTGGTCGAATAATTCCTTATGAAGAAACAAGAAGAAACTATAGAGTAAAATATTTTCATATAACGCTCCGTTTCAGAGAAAATCAAAATTGAAAATTTATCAAGTATATATACTTGATAGAAGAAAGAAGAAACTATATAAAGTAGCTTATTAATAAAATTTAAAACTTATAAAACAAGCTACCGTTACAAAACTTTTTTCAAAGCATTTTCAAATTTTTGTTCCAACTTAGACAATTATTTTCAGGGACTTAAAAAATGGGAATTCTCCCGCGAAGACACTTAATCCGTACCTGGCCTCAGTGTCAAGTTGTGCACACCTGCGTTCTATCTAGTTTTAATTGGAGATAATAATACACCTGTGTTATGTACTTTGTCCCAGTTACGGAATCATTCTTACTCTACAATATTATTTTTAAATTTTACTCTTGTATATATGTATATATAATAAAATCAGATAGAATCGCAATAAAAGAAAGAGTAATATGTAAGAACGATGAATGGAGTAGAAAAGGAGGTAGAAAAGATACGCATCTTTGATACTGAATAATCATATTTTAATAACTTAATGATTGTACAAATGGATCATTCTTGAACATTTCCGTGTAACCGAGGAACAGTAACAATAAATACAGGAATTATCATAATTATATAATGTTCATTACTAATGTATAATTACACAAAACATAAACAACATGTTTGCACTGCCTTTGCGTATTTATACGTAAGGTACAAGGTTTCTCAATTTCTGATTCATCACACAAGTGTGCATATGTATTAATGACAGGGAAATAATATACGTAGAAAGATTCGTTATATCGTCATTGTATTCTATACTTGTTTTATTTTAACACGACCGGCCCACCCTGTTCCAATTTGTTTTGTATTCATATTAATATTCATATTCATATTCATATTCGTATTCATATTCATATTCATATTCATATTCATATTCATATTTATATTCATATTCATATTCATATTCATATTCATATTCATATTCATATTCATATTCATATTCATATTCATATTCATATTCATATTCATATTAATGTTCATGTTCATATTGATGTTCATGTTCATGTTCATATTCGTATTCATATTCATATTCACATTTATATTCGTATTCCTATTCATATTTGTATCTCTTATATTTCCGTTTATATAATTATACAATAATAATTCTATCGATCTCTCTCATTTCAAATATTCGGATTCACATCCATTCAAAGGCTGATGTCCGTTTATTTTTTGCTTCCCACTTCCTTCTTCTCTCATTTTTCCAACTTTCTTGTCTCATTCCTCCATATACATACACACATACATACAATCAAACGTACACACATCACGGAGCCACGTTTACCGTCTTCACTCTTATTCATTCACTCACTCATTTACTTACTTTTCCCCTTTTTCTCGCATCCCGTCTCTTCTCCCTCATATTTTGTTTTCTCCTTTCACTCTGTATACTCAGTGCCCGTAACAATATCGAAATTGTCGTCGTCACAATTTAAGTACATTATGTTCAACGGTATCGATAAAGTTTATTTCAATAAAATTTCTGGATAATGTCAATAATATAGTATAATAGATGATAAGTACTTGACGATTCACTTCGATTGGGGCGAAAAATATGAAACTTGTTACTAGGCCAACTATGTACCAAGATACGTCTCCGAGCTACAGTGTTGCGACCATTTGCCATTTTTCTCATTGCCTGCGTTGCGTGTTTATTCAATCTTCAGGAACTTTACGATACTCCTAACATTTTTAGGATCCGTTATCGCGCACCAACGGCCTAATTTCTCACAAGCTAAACACACAAAATACTTTGATCTTAATTATTTTTTCGCTTTATCGCTCTTCAAATTTCCGATTTCTTCTTATTCTTATTATTAACAATATTATCGATACTTTTCTTTATTAATACTGTTAACGTGATTATAATAATTATAATTCTCATTTTTCGTTGTACCAGTTTTCCTTCTTTCGAAACAGAAAAAATAATTAATCTAAGATTTCCATTGATTGTCATATAAATATGAATGTATGTATGTAGGCGTAATACGATCTACTGAATGGAATATTAAACACTTATTAAAAACCTTATCACTAGGTTTTTATGTTTGATGGATAAAGTATTTCATATATAACAAACCGATTTAATACTCTGAAAAATTACGAGAAAGTAATATTTATTATTGGACCAATTACTCCTATCACGATTCTAACTCATTCTGTATCGATGTTAATTCCAAATGAATTACAATTTAAAGAAGGAATCTCATTGTGTAGGATAAACAGGATGTCATGCAGATCGAGAAAAAAGGAAATACCAACTTTTGTTCGGAAACGTATCTCGGTAAAATTTATATAATAAAATTTGTGTGTTGTTACATATTTTAATATGTTGTGTGTATGTAGTAGTAGTAGCAGCAGTAGCAGCAGTAGTAGCAGCAATTGCAGTAGTAGCGGTAGTAGTAGTAGCAGTAGTAATAGCAGAAGCAGCAGTAGTAGTAATAGTAATAGTAGTAATAGGATTAGTAATAGTAGTAGTAGTAAGAGGAAGGGGAGAGGTGGGAGTGGTAATAGAAGTAGTAGTAGGAGTAGCAACAGTAGTAGCAACAGTAATAGTAGTAGTAGTAGTAATAGTAGTATAGTGTAGCAGTGTGATAGTGTAATAATGTAACAGTAGTAGTAGTGGTAGTAGTAGTAGTAGTGGTAGTAATAATAGTAGTGGTAGTAGAAGAAGAAGGAGGAGGGGGAGGAGGATATAGTGGTAGTAGTAGTAGTAGTAGTAGTAGTAGTAGTAGTAGTAGTAGTAGTAGTAGTAGTAGTAGTAGTAGTAGTAGTAGTAGTAGTAGTAGTAGTAGTAGTAGTAGTAGTAGTAGTAGTAGTAGTAGTAGTAGTAGTAGTAGTAGTAGTAGTAGTAGTAGTAGTAGTAGTAGTAGTAGTAGTAGTAGTAGTAGTAGTAGTAGTAGTAGTAGTAGTAGTAGTAGTAGTAGTAGTAGTAGTAGTAGTAGTAGTAGTAGTAGTAGTAGTAGTAGTAGTAGTAGTAGTAGTAGTAGTAGTAGTAGTAGTAGTAGTAGTAGTAGTAGTAGTAGTAGTAGTAGTAGTAGTAGTAGTAGTAGTAGTAGTAGTAGTAGTAGTAGTAGTAGTAGTAGTAGTAGTAGTAGTAGTAGTAGTAGTAGTAGTAGTAGTAGTAGTAGTAGTAGTAGTAGTAGTAGTAGTAGTAGTAGTAGTAGTAGTAGTAGTAGTAGTAGTAGTAGTAGTAGTAGTAGTAGTAGTAGTAGTAGTAGTAGTAGTAGTAGTAGTAGTAGTAGACAATGCAATAACTCGAGCAACGGAAAATCTGTAGATCTTAAATCCGCACGCATTATATCTATAATAATCATTAAGTAGATATTTTGTTATTTCTTCTCCATCGTGAAATATTAATCAATAACTTATTATGTACGTACGTATTGTGTGTATATGCGCACGTGTGCGATTATGCGATTACTATGTAAGTGTGTGCATATGTTGCGAAGTGTGCACGTATGTATGGATGTTGAATGAGAAAAAAAAGAGCACGTGGTTTTATAGCATAATGATAATTATAGAAAGTGTAAAGAATTTTATCGTACAGCTACGATCAAGCTTTCAAATTCTATAAATCGGTGTAAAATGTACATCTATCGCTTTTCTGTGATTTCAGTTTGTAGTCTTATTTTATTTTTGGTTGGTTGACAATTTTTCATTTTTTCAAATTATTTCTCATTTTCTTTCTTTCTCTTCATTTTCTTTCCTTTCTTGCTACTCTTCTTCTACTCCTTTTTATTTGTTTCCTATAATTTTTCGTATTTGGTCTTATTTGGTTTATTCTTTCGTTATGTACAATATTCAACAGTATACAATGCTCATTCAATAAGTTTTTTTATTGCCCGCGTGTGTCATTTTTCCTACATGTTCCAAGTGAACATACGCAAACTTCAAGCGGAAGCGGAGCGTAAAAGACGATTTTCAACCATGATCTTTCAAAGATACTTGACATGGATTTTCAAGTTTCGGTAGTAATATGCAGATGTATTCGTATATTCATACCCTCCCCCCCCCCGCCCAGAATATTACATTTCTTCCATTAACTTTTATACATTTTAATCGTTTCTCTGTAAAATCCCTCGAAATAGAGTGAAAGCTAACATGAAATACCTTTCAAAATATTTTTTGACTGAAACTCATAGTCGAACTTTAATGTCTCTATTTGTGTACTGAGTTAAATACTAGCATTTTAATTTCGAGCCGCTGATATAGAAAGATGTTTAAATAAATTTATAACTTAAAATTCAACAAGTTCTTTGATACAAGTTGTTTTTGTAAAAATATTCACGAAACGCGATAAAACAAGCAGGATGCATTACCGACACACGCACACACACACTGACATACTTTTTAGTAAACATGATCAACAGCGTGGTGACCTATCATTTGTAATGTAATTCTACGAATTTACAGAATCTGATAAATGTATTAATAGTATGTGTGATTTTTGCTTTTCGTACAGATAATTACCGAATAAATTTGTTAATACAAATGCGTGCGAGGAGGATTTAAAACAAAGTCCAAGCTTTTTCATTGTACATAATTGCTGCACGATAAACATATCCGTGTATGCAACAAGATAGTGAAACTAATGATGGAATAGTTACCAATTGATTGATCGAATTTAAATTTCTTATGTGCTCTTTTCTCATTCTTTTTTAAATGAATGTCGCGCGAAGTATATCTCGCTACATTGTTGTTTCGTTTCTTCAGTATATTCAGTTTGTTAGATCAAGTATACTGGATGATCGGAAATTTGAAATTTCTTACACAAAGGATTCATATTTAAATCGGTAGTGTCGAACATGAAAAAGATTAATTGGAGGACACGACTAACGAATATGCTGGCATTTTGACGAAGAAAAGAAATACAAGAATAATTTGTTCGACATATGGGCTGTCGTTGGTTGATATGTGCTTCAAATTCACATTTCGTAACGCATCGAACTATTTACTGTTATTCATGAAATTAGTGCGAAATGAAACAAAATGAAGTGGAAACGAAACACGAATTGAAACAAAGTGAAATGAAATGAAATAAAATAAACCTTACGTTAAATTTTTCGTTTCATTATTTGTTTCAACAAGAAATTAGCATAATAAATCTAATAGTTATCTTGTCCGACACAAACGATTTATACCATTGATGGTATCCCTATGAAATGTTTAAAAGAAAATATATCGTATTTTGATTATGCATCCATATATGCGTGTCATTCATATAGATAATATGTGTACACGTACATGTATATATAGGATGATTCCAAGTAGTGTTCAAAAATTTAGGGATATATTTTAATTACCCAATGTATTACTTTACCTCTATCGTTATCGATTTATACTATTTCACGGCAACTCCTTTTTTCTTTTCAAAATAAAAAAAAAAACATGGAAGAAAAGTATAGGATCTATCAGTGAGTGCATAGACATAAGTAAGTTCTTACTTATGTATATACGATTCACCTCGTTTGATATAGATATCCTTAGATTTATGAACAACCATTTACTCCCATCCTGTATACATATATTTTATTTATATACACACACCCACGAGCGCACATACGTTCACGCACGCACATACGTATATATATATGTATATATATGTATATACAGTGACGTGCAAAAATGGTGTGCGGCCACCCTGTAAAACAAAACAAAAATTTTTTTAATTGGACCAAATTGGACTTGTACCTTTTTGAAAAGTTAGAAGGCTTAGTTTACTAAATGACGTGTAAACAAAATTTTGACAAAATTGCAATTGATCGGAAATGAGAAAAAAATAGTAAAAATTGTTCCTTTATAACCCTTTTTTTATCTAAGTCTGTAATGGAAATTTGAAAAGTATGTTTTGCACATTTATGTCAGTTATAAAAAATTTGATCGAAATTGGTTAACGTTCCTATAAGCTAGGAACGATTAAAAATGGTGAAAATCGCAGTTTTTCACGAATTTCGGCCTATAACCGTAATGAATCTAAAGATTCTTACGTTTTTCGATGCCTGTCACTTATTTCTGCATCAACTGAATTCGATGAAATTTTTAACATATATAGTATAAGTGACATAAATTTATAAGAAATAGTGTTTAGAGTTTCATTGCTTAGTGAAATAAAAAAATTGTAAAAAGTGATCTTTACTATTTTCTTCGTGATTCCATTGTAAGTTTTTCAAAATATTTTTTACACATCATGTAATAAGCTAATTCTACTAACTTCTCAAGAAAAGTCAAATCGTTTGAACTAATTTTAAAGAAGTTATTCTGTTCTAAATGATGACTGAATATTTTTGCACGCCACTGCATACGCGTATATGTACAGGGTGATTTTTTCGCTAGCCGACTCAAAAGCAGCGTCGCTAATCACTCTATGGATCATTTACTCTCGTTTTCATTTTACATATATACAACACATAGCCATCTCTGCACTAACACAGTGCCGATATTGACTTTTAGTGATGAATGTGACAGATCACATATACCGACACGGCGTTATCACTGCGGTGAAGCAACGTTTCCTTCGAGTTAACTAGCAAGAGAATTACTCTGAATATATATATATACACATACATATATATATATATGTAGATATAGATATACTTTCTGTTTTCTAATTTACAAGTATTTATCCCTCGATATCATGTTAACTTATATTAGTATTCAATAACAGGGCGTTACGCGTCAAATATCGTTACTTTTTGTGATATTTATATATCGATGTTTCGACGGTATTCCACGCAGACACTTGTTTCACTGATTGCGAACTGTATTATATTAGTGGTACATTTAAGTTTAAACGCATATATATTACCGTAATAATTTTCTTTAATGGTATCAATCCGATACCATTCCGCGTATCGTTACGCTCTTTGTCATTCACTAAGCTAATAACCTGCAAACCTGCAAACCTACAAATCCAGAAATCAACAAATTCACAAATTCATCCTTATAGTTTTAGCGTCGAATATCCTAATTTAGTTTAAGTAGCATTAAAAATAAAGTTTAAGTAACATTAAAAATAAAATTCCCTATAACGAAAGAATGACAATATTGATCGCGTCAATATTACATTATATACAGAGTTTATTATGTTGTATCGCATTGCCGTCCACGCAGAAAAAAACATGAAAATAGTTACATTTACATTGGTTAAAATAGTTACGTTTAACCTAAAAGTGGTTAAAAATTAATCCTTAATTTTCACCCAAATATTTTAAAGAAGAATTACTTCATTGTACGATGCAGTAGTAGTACAAGCATGCAGTAGTAGTAGCAGCACCAGCAACAGCACCAGCAACAGCAACAGAAGAGCCAGCAGCAACAATAATTGCAGAAGTAGTGTGGTAGCAACGGCAGCAGTAGCAGCAGTAGTAATAAGAGTAAGTGGTAGTAGTTGTAATAGTAGTAACAATGATACTAGCAGTAGCAGTAATAGTAGTAATAATAGATAAAGAGAAAGAGAGAGTGTCTTGCGGTATTCGTTAAAATCGTTTACTGCCTGTTAATATTGTTGGTTGAATAACGTATATCTATGCAGTCTACATATATGCGTGCGTGCGTGTATGCGTGTGTGCGCGCACAAGTATGTATGTATGTACTTACTTATTTACGTATGTACATGTCAGTGTATGCGTGATATTTGTATTTTTTAATACAATTAATGTTTGATTTTGATTACAATATGATGGTAGCAGCGAATAGCAATATCGCGTCTTTATTCGATAATAGGTGAAAGATTGAAAGATGACAAAAGAACGGAGATAAGAGTCCAAGTACGATTTGGATACCGCGGGAATTGTTACCAGTTGCGCATAAGACACGTACCGAAACATTCGCCGTTTGTTTCGTGGGAAAGCTTGTTTCCCATTAAAAGCAAAGTTCTCTCCCTTCTTTAAGATTCTCTCCTGTCAAACAATTGAATATCGTTCGTTGTACAGAGGAGTAGCACCAACGACGTTTTATAACGCGTAGCGCGTTTGGAAGACGAAACGAGAAGAAGGAGATGTGCAGGAGGGAAACGCGTAGTGTTAAAGTTTAATTAAGTATTCCGCGTGGGCGGCAAGCGAGCGCTAGTTTTTACAGTTTACACGGTAATTGAGTAGTTATTTGGTTTATTCTGTTGCACGGTTTTTAAACTTAACTCGATGGTTCGTCAATCAGTTAACATCTATTTAATTTAAACGTGGTTATTACAGTTAGATTGTTGAGCACAATTATTGATTTCTATCAGAGACTTTCGGGAGGCGCTATGAGATGAGCTTATATCCCCAAATTCGCTGGCCGACTTACCCTTACGTGGCAACGTCGTAGACTCTCCTAGCGAGGGTAATTCCCGTGGTTTCCAAATCGGCGAACCTTCAACAGATAATATTCAATACAGATATATAATAATATATACATAAAATAGTATACACATGTATACAAGTACAATATAATAGACCATATAACGTAATAAGAGACCTCTCGTTTAAGATAAGAATGCTTATTCGATTGAATATGAACTTCTTACCAAGTTCCTTGACTGCGATCGGCTGATAATTTTCCGGCTGATGAGAAGATTGGATCAGTCTCGCCTGACTACCCGTACTTCCTGCTGAAATTGTTGAAGTGGTGCTCAAAGTCAAATGATTCGGTGTGCGGCCCAAATTCGCCTTCTTCTCACCTAAAAAAGCTTGCGAATCTTCTTCTCCTTCGGATTTTGTTCCTGAATCCATCTCGACTTTCACCTCTCCTGTGCGTTAAAAATAACGTTCCTCCATTCACGTAAGAAAAAATTAATTATATTCGTGTCATAACAAACAAATCTCACCGGATGTATCGCTGATAGTCTTGCTTCGGGAGCGAAATGTTGTTTGCTGTTGATTGATTGCGCCTGCTGGCTCCTCGGTATCTTTATCTTCGGAGCTTTCATGCTCTACCGTTTGCTTCGATTGGCTATATTTTCGTTTTACGTTATGGGAAGTTGGCAATATTTGCGGTTTAACCGTTTTTTTCGATAGCGTACCAGTATTTACGGCGCTACTGTTACTGCCATTTTGTCCCTGGCTTGCCGACTGTTTCTCAAACTTTTCAACATGTCCAGTTGACATTCGTGGTGAAATGGTAATCGGTGGTTGGCTCAAGTTCTGTTTCGTCGATGGTATACTCATATTTCGAACCGATTCTCGAATAATTTGACGTATCGTCCTCAAAAATGCATTTCTGAATTCTGTTGTGCTAAGGAAATACATAAAGGTAATATATGTATAAATGTTACACATATTACGTACAATTTCGATTCTAATCGCTCTAGAAATCGTTAGCTGGTAGGGTATGCAAAAATCGGCTTTACCCAACCAATGTCAGCAGTACATACCGTCGCCTAAAAAATACTCGAATTCCGAACATGGACCAATATGATACGAGTAAAATTGACAATGCCCACCATTTGATGGGCAGTTTGATGGGATTATTATCTTTTTGCGAACTTTACCAGGTTTGAAATAAAATATGTGGATATTAATAAATCCATGTGGGCAGCGTCGCGCTAAGTTGTTTCTGTGTTAATCTTATTAACACAATTAATAGTTCGTCGTTCGCTATTCAATTGTTTCTTCGAACTTTACCAGTCAGCAGTGTATAATACTGACATTCCTCGGGCAAGGCTGATTACGCACACCCTGCTGACTGCGCCCGTAACGTAATATGAAAATGTTTGTTAAGTAGTATAGCATATGATACATCACGCGTATATACAATAAAAAGTATATACCATACTTTTATATATACATACATATATAAAATGTACCTGACAATGATGTGTAGCGACAAATTAATGCAGGTAAATTCGTCGGATGATGCGGTGGTTCAGGGCAAAGCGTGTATGTTTTAAAACTTTTAATTCAAGAAGAAATACCGTTAGACGATACCTGTTAGAAAGCACGTATACTTTCTCCGATCTTCTCTGTAATTGACTTCTTAAGTGGATCAATTCCCACAGGAAATGAGATTCCATATCTTTGGCGGAACTAGCTCTAACTTGTACTTCCGTTACAGGAATTAATACTTGATAGCGAATTATTTCTACCTCACTGGAATTCGCTTTAGTGGATACCCCCTGATCAAAATATCATTAAATTTATGATATGTGTCCAGATATATATATTGTATATAAGTATACATATAAATAAATTTTTATGTTATTTTTAAGATGAAAGAAGAAAATAAAAAAATTACCATAAGCTTCTTCTTTTGTCTCAACCTTTCTTTACACAAGAATACGACAGCAGACTTAAACACAAAACACATTGCGTGCAGTTCCAGTCCTTTCTTGATTTTACCAAGAAAGTCGGAAATATTGAGCCATTCGACCCCTCCATAATATAAAAGATCTCCTGGACTTAAGTCGATCGGCTGGCGAGATAGCATCATTGCAAGATACGCATAAAATGCAAAATATAGAATATAAAATCTGGAAGTGGAATGCCTTTGAAAGTTTATTATATTTTATTTACCTGTTTGCAAGACTTTTGATGTTGCCTGAACAAGTGATCAAAGATAGCTCCGTATTCTTCGTGAATCCTTTGCATTTCATTGATGTGTTCTGCTACTTTCTCCATTCCTTTTAAGGCTTCTGTACTCGTGATAAACAATTAATATTAATTTAACAAGTTTGTGTATATATTTATATAGGGACAAACATTTATAATAATTGTCTCGTTTACCAATCAAGTGCTGGTGCTCTTCACTTCGTTCGTCAGTTAGGTTTCGAAGCTGTTGTAACAACAACGGATATTTCAGTATTCGTTGAATAGGTTTTATCAAGTATGATTCTAAAGTCGACGAGTGTTGCTGCCTTGGATTGCGCGCTTGCAGGAACTCTTGTAAAGCTTGGTTTCCTTCATCTAATAAAAGAAAATAAAGAAAAGTTCATTTAAAGCATTTTTTTCTTCATTTTCTTAATAGAGTATAGATAGATCTTAATAAAGAAGAAAATCGGAATTTTACTCACTTGGATGTAAAACCTTTTGTGCTTTTGAGTGGCTAGCACAAAACGAACTGTACAACTTGAAATGATTTACGTAATATAAGAAGGCACTTCCAATAGAAAACAGGACACCCTTTGAAAAAAATATAGATAATTTGCACATTGTACAATACAAATACATATAAATCTTTTACTTCGTACTTCTTTTACGTTATTGTTCATACGTATGTATATGTGTATACTTGTACGTATGTATGGTAAAGAGGAATACACGTATACCCATACATACAAATATTCGATAAAATAAATACAATAGATAGCAAAGGTATAACCTTCTTATTGCAGATCATCAATATTGCATACCTTAAATTGACTAGGATGGTCGAAATTATTGAAATCAGCTTCCATCTCGATCGCATGATCAAGATTTTGTAGAAACTGTCGTTGAAATGTAACAATCTCTTGTATGTTCCCAAACAATGCGTTTATTTCTGCATTCGATAAGAATGTTTCGCGTTTAAGGGGTTCTAAGTAGTTCTCCAGCAAATTATTTAAGTTCTGAAAAAGTATTTCATTTGTTCATGTAATGTAATACCTACTTTAGTTATAAATATTTTACGCTACAATATATGTATATTATATATACGTATGTATCATATGTTTACATAATGTAGAGTGCAAATCTTCTAAGATTGAGATTGAGATTCGATTTTAACCCTGCTGCATTTTTCTGGTCATTTTCGAGTCGATTGTATTTTTTTAATGTTACAAAATACCTCAAGTTTAGAAAAATATGACTAAATTTTTATTAGCATGCACGATTCTTTGCTTGAATTTTATGCGAAACATTTTCATAGATCTTGTTATTTGTCAACGTGGGAACGAGATTGAAATATAAAAGTTTGAGGATCGCAGCAAAGTAAAGCGTCACATAAATACAATTTCACAATAAGTTGTGATCAAACGCACCTTCACATAAGTACGTTCAGTTTCAATTAATTCTAGAATAACTTTCTTCAATTTCTCAGCATCGCTTAATTGCCGACTCGGCGTCATAGCTTGAGAATGAGAACTAACAACACTTCCAGTGGGACTAGATTTTCTTGTTTCACCAGGTGATCGACAGATACCAGTTACTTGTTCGGCGGTTTTCAATAAGTTTTCTATTTCGAATGAATTTGTGCGAGATGTTTGTTTGCCATTTTCCATGTGAGCTGCTGACGTACACTCCTGTGCGATACTTTCTTTGCCTACATTCACCGACATACATATATGAGTATGCACAGATTATGTATTTGTAATAATAATTTATTTGTTAATTTTATTTTATTAAATTATTAGATAAATGCTGTATATTTTGTAACAATAATTCGACGCTTTATAGTATGGATAAAATTAACTAAAAATCTTTTTATTAAGAAAGGAAAGAATCACTATTATGCTACTGCTACTGCTACTACTACTACTACTACTACTACTAGTATTGTTACTGCTACTGCTACTGCTACCGCTACTACTACTGCTACTGCTACCGCTACTACTACTGCTACCGCTACCGCTACCGCCACCGCTACCACTTTCGCTACTACTACTGCTACTTCTACTGCTACTCTACCGCTACTGCTACTGCTACTGCTACGTTACCGTTATTGTACGAAAATGCATACAGTAGGAATAAAAGTTAAAATAAAATAATGTTGTATGTCCTAAATATTTTTTCTCAGAAAAGTTATTACAAGCAGAGAGAGAGAGGGGTAATAGAAGAAAGGGACTGAGGAAAATATGGAATAATGTTGAACAAAAAGTGGAAAATAAACTGTTCAAGTAGACGAAAATCCTTACTCCATCCGGGGGCTGGAACGATTAAACCGGAAATCATTTCTTCGCTTATAACCGGTGGATCAGAAGGTGGTGGCGGGCAAACCAAACTCTCGATTATGTCATCGGTGACTCTCATTATGCCTGTAAGATCTGGTGGTTCAGTTCGCGAAGATCTCATCATCATACATAGACCAACTTCTTCTTGCAACACACTTTCCAAGTACATCATGTCTAAATCGCTTACTATTGCACCGTTAATTACCATGATCTCGTCTCCTTTAATGATTCCTAAAAAATGTCAAAATAAAAAAGTATCACGTTAGAAGTTTAATTTGAAGTCCGAAGGAACATGTGAAATTTTTAAAAAATGATTAAAAAAGAATAAGAATACGTATTATCATTGTTAATTTTGAAAAATACACAAAAATTAAAATGCGCTGCATAATTTATAATGTTTAAAACATGATTTTATATTATTTATATTATATATACGTAAACTATCTAGGGTTCAAGTGTAATAGGGACTTTCTCTGTCACGGACAGCACGACTTTCTTTGTTTCACAGACACAGTGACTTTCTTTGTTTTAGGGGCAACCATTTTGAGAGACATTCATTTCCTAAACGGACGGATAGAGAGCAACATCAGAGATAGACAAGATCACAGAAGAAAGAATAATTATTTAAAACATTGAAGATTGACGGCCAAAGATCGGTAGCACAGGACGTTGAAAATCGATTCTCGATTTTCAGGTATTGCACAGAACTTGTTATTTATTGTTTACTGTTATCGATTGGTATTAATTGTTGTTTACTCCTGTACTTCATTTAAGTATTTTCACAATAAACTCGATTTTCAGACTTCAAAATCGATCACCTGAATTACCCCGAGGTTTACGACATTACATATATATATATTATTGAATAATATATATATATTATTTTATATCATTTATATATCATATAAATATGTACATTATGCATGCCTTGCTTCGTTAAAGAATATAAATCTGTATTTGCTCAGTTAATGGGGAGTACAATACAAAAAATCAATGTTTTTCAATGTCACTCTCTACAAGATATTCTGCAGATGCAGACAAAAAAAAATCTGATTAAGGTCACCCGACTTTGTGTTTCCACATGTATCTCACCTTCATTCTTAAATTAGATCAAAGAGGGATGGAAAGAGAATCTTGAGCTTGCCTGACTGATCTCCTATTTATATTACATCAAGCAGTTTTATGGAAAACGATGCGAACGTGCAATTTTATCGAATTTTCCTCTGAAGAATGATATATTAAGTTCGAGTTTACGAGTATACGTGTTTATTATGCTAAACGAATAAAAATAAATAGTTGATTGATTTAATTTCCATATCGTTAATGGTTATACTAGTAGAAATCTTGATTTATAACAATTATAACATAACTCACAATGATAATCAGTTTGAAAAATGCGTGTATCGTTTTACTTACCATTTTGCATTGCGACGCTCTTATCTTCAACCCTGCTAACGTAACAACACAATTCATCCTGCCGATCAGAATTCTCAATTAATTCTGCCTCCACCGAAAAGCCCCACATTTGTTCAAGAGTATTCCTCTGTAGCTCTACTTGATATAAGATTTTTGCGCAAACTTCAACGATCTCATGAGTGTGCAACTGAAATATATGTATATTTACTTAGATATGCTATAAATATGTAATTACTTCATTTATTCTTCGTTTACAATAGCCTCACAATTAGTAATTAATAATTAGTCATTATTATAAATCAGATAGTACTTTATTTCTAGTAACAATAAAACAAAGGGATAGCCTTTCATATAAATAAATATGTTCGAAATCAAACTTCTCGATAGAGAATTTTGCAGTAAGAATATATATATTATATGTATAATAAATTACTAGAAAATGATTACGTCAGTTCAATTAGACCAAGGAAATATCGACAAATAAGCGAACGGTTTAATTCGTAACATATAACATGACATTAATACTTACATAAGTTTCTATCATGTCCGTTCTATGTGGTACAAAATAATTATGATCTTCCATGTCGCGTCGTTTTTTTACACGAACGAAATGTTCCATCGGATTAAGGTTCTTCCTGTTGCAAGCACTCGCAAGGAATTCCTCTACTGTCATAGCGTCACGCACAAAGACGGATACCAGCTGAAAATAGAAACGTAGATAAATGTGAAAGAAATTATCTTAATTTTGATGATGTCAATTGTACAAAGTTACCGTTACAATTTTATATTCTTTCTAACTATTTCAATTACGAACATTCATAGATAGATTGGTATACTTTTAAATATAATATTACAAACAATAATTAGGGTCGCTTACCTGATTTTCCGGCACATACACCTTCACGGTTTTCTCATCATCTCTAGACGATATTTGAAGGGATCTCCTACTCGATCCACTATTGGATCTCGATAGTAACGGTGGTCTTCTCTTGGTAGCTCCTCGTCCTGCTAGTAGATTATTCAACAACGAAGGACTTCGTGCGCAAATAAAAGCATGAAACGACGATACGGTAAAGACTCCTAATTTGTTTAATGTTTGCTTCGTAGCACGAGATACGTGCGTCAATAAACTCTGCGGAGAAAATAAAAGATTTGAATCGAGGTGATTCTCGTATCGGAATTATCGGCTGCCCCTACTAATCTAGCGGAAACTGGCTCGTTGAAGTTTTACAAGATTCTATTTGCGGTTCACGGTGGTCGATACAAGTTTCCGATTCTCTATACGGTCTATAATGAGTATAAATTATGCACGTTAACGTAACACACAAGGATGTTTTACAGACTATTTGCGTATCATAGTCGAAAATTTCATTTAGTCATTACATTTATTAAAATTTTATTATGCTTAAATCAATATACAGATACAAACCTTTGGGTTTGGTAATTCGCCACTCTGTAAACTCGCCATATAGCATCTTAGTCGGAATTGCTCACAATGAAGTCGCTCCAAATTTTCTTCCCATTGAACAATTTGATTATTAATCTGCTGTTTTGTTTCTACATCGGATACAACAGACTGCTGAAGATCCGCCATGTGTTTTAGTTTATGATCCTAAAGAAAAGACGATAGAGACGTTTAAACGATTTTCCCCAACTCTTCCGCTTGATGGTCAGAAGGAACATAAATTAAAGCAAAGTAATACATAGCTATATCCGGTCCGCTTACCGATTCTATCGCTTTCTCTAAGCGAAATATTTCTTCTTGCAATAAATGAAGGGTTCCGGTTTTACCACGATGACGTGCAAACGCAGCGGCACATGCTGAATGTATGCTGTTCACCCAGTTTTCGAGTTCCACTTGACACGGTGCCTAGTATATAAAAGTAAGAAAGGACTTACGATTGATAATCGAGCAATATATATCGATAGAAACTGTATTATCCAGTGTATGACACGATAATTCGTAATGGTTTCGCAATATGCGCTTACCTGGAATAAATAAGCATCGCCGAATGCGGTGCTCAAGCAAAATATGTAATCCCGTTTTGGATGTTCCGGAATTGGTTGCATTATTGCACCATCGACTATAATCAAGTGTTTTGGTGCTGCCTCCATGGCTCTACTTTCTTGCGAATCACAAGGATAGAAGAGAAGGGTAGTTCCCTTTAAGCAAACCCAATAACCTTTCCAACCCCTCTTCCTCGCCAGCTCGATTTGATGCTTCTTTCGTAACAGCCATTTTTTCACGCTTAAAAATCTGCAATTTGATATTTGTGTTAAATTTACGTTAGAAACTTAATGTATGTTTCTCTATTACAAAGCTCTTCTTTCCGCTTACCCAGCTTTTCGAACTGCTCCCGTGCAATTGAACGAAGCTGCAGCGGTACCAGTCTGTTTTCCTCGATATGGAGAATTTATGACACTTTCACCATCGTCGTCATCGCTAACGGCAGTAGTTAGCGACATTTTATCATCGTCTGACATCTACAACATTTACCAATATTACTATCTGATTTGTCCACTTTCTCCACTTCAATGAAAAGGAATGACAAGAAAGTATGTATATACATCGTTTTCAATCTCAAATGTACAATATTAAGTGGACATTTTACGAACTATATATATTTATAAACATAATTTTTATTACGATCGTAAGTGCAATCCAAGTAGGGTTGGCGTATAATCAAACGTAAACAATTTCTCAAACTGGAACAGAATAATCAGGATCTATGTGTGTGTGTATGTGTGTAGAAAAGACGATGAAAAGAGCAAGTGATAAAGAAAAAGAAGAAACAGCAAAAGGATGTGTAGAACATGTGACGAGCATAAGAACTGATGCTTCTCATGTAAGAATAAAAATGATATTATACACCAATTACGAATATTAACATATCAGAAATGTTGATACTTGTGCTATATACTTACTTTATATGTTCTACCGTTTTACGTATTAGCATATTTATTTAAATATAAAAAATGATCGTATACAACGATACATTGTGGAAAAAATGAGTAAAGATACGGTAAAAATACAGTAACTGCGGTGTATCAACGACGGTATACATAGTTATTGATTCTCGTAACGATATATCGGTAAAGGTAACAGCAACGATAATGGTAACGGTAATAACGACGATATAACAGTAACGATAACGGTAACAGCTACGATAACAATAATAGGTACTAATGAAAACAAGATTATAATAATAACGCGGAAACTCTGGTGTCTCTACCTTTTTAGCATAATTTGTCATACCGCGAAGCTTTTCGCGTAATCCCCAAAAGCCTTCACCAGCCCAAAAACTTACGACTTTTTTTAGAAAGTCGGCGTTGCAAGCATCCGCTGTCATATGCGGATGGTAATGACAGTAGCAACCTTCCTTCAGGAGCTTCATATTTTTCTTGGCGGTGCCGTTTATCTTGAACATGATCTCTTTGCGGGCAATGCTGAGACCGTGGATGTAATGCTGAGCCCAGGTGTTCAAAGCACCGTTAATGATCCTAAGCAACTTGTAGTAGTAACCGTCACCGAGACCAAAGTTGACTTTTTCTCGAACGTTCTTGTAATTAAACCAATACAATTTTCTCGTTTCATTGATACATATTACGCTGATGGTGTGCCTTTTGCAAAGGCAAAAGTACTTTCTGCAATGTTTTTTGTGAAGTGTTTTCAAATCTGTATAGCTGCTACTCGGATTCAACAGATTTAAGGTACTATTCATGCACTTGATCGACCATCTCGGTTCTACCATTATCGTATATACTTGATTACGTTGATGCTTTTGCTGAACCGAATCAAAAGATTTTAGATGGACGAATCAACGAGAGAAAACGAACCAGCTTTTCCTAAACAGTTAGTAAGCAAGAGTAACTCTGATTCGAATTCGTCAAAATCATCGTGTTCACCTCGACCTGTTCGTTCTTTTTCCCCATCGATGCCTTTATTGTCGTTTGGACGGTGGAAGAATAGACAACGTGTCGTTCAATCGTAGATTTGAAAGATTCCGTTCGATTTGGATTCCTTTGTTAATTTGATTCAAGCTCGAACATGTCTAAAAGCATCCTTCTATAGAACATTTCGTATCGCGTTTCTCTTTTACGATTCTAAACATGAAAGAATATTATTTGATTGGCAAACGTTGCGTTAATCATTGTAAGAACTGATCACCTTGTTATCTTGAAACTCGATGCTTAAGGCATAAATTCTTCCCTTCGGTTGAAAATTTGGACAATCTTTTTAGTAAAAGTGACAGCGTATGGCTCCAACAGTTTCCTGAATAGATGTAAAATGTTAATTACGAATGTGCATACAAAATAAAATAGGCACAGTCGTCGTGCATTGTGCATTTTCTGTGAGCATTAGATTATCGCTCTGACAGAAAGAGCTTTTTAACCATTAGTCCAAAAGCCTGTAAGAGCCACGTAGCCATGTAGAGAAAAGACAATAGAAACGACGAAAATAAAAGAAGCAAATCCCCTAATCGATTTCAATATTTTACACCTTATAACAATATATTTGATATTTGTCACAAAGGACAGAAGCAATCTTGTCGCTACGTTTTCATTACATAGGAGAAAATATTATAATACCACCGTTGTAAGATGAAAATCTTCCGATTATTTGTACATTTATAATCTCTACTTAAGGCAAACTGCTTTTGCACTATACAGATCACTACTAGGATCCTTTTTATGTGATTTTCTGTTTCGTAAAACTAGAAAGAATCTGTTTTAGAAAATCGACAATTTCGCGGATATACCGTAAACTTGTACTTTATGTGTTTTTTTTATATGCATATGTTTCAACAGGGATGCCCATTTCATCCTTCCATTTGATTTTATTTTTCAAGGTACATGCAGAAAGAAACGTTCCCTCTCTCTTTCTCTCTCCCTGCTCTTTTCTCTCTTGAATAAGACTTTTCTTTCTTTTAATACTTTCATCGATCTTTTTTAAGAAGCGATAATCAAATCCCGGGGTGATTAATAAACCGAAAGGATTATTCTAAAAATGTTCCTTTTTCTTGGTAAGTGGATAGGTTTCAAAGGTAAATATATAGAATACTTTTGCAATATATGCATAGAAACGAACTCTCTGTATAAAAATATGTTGCATTTCTCAATATCACGTTCTCTTTAGCGTTTTATATATACATACAGATATTCTATTCGAACACCAAATACCGTATCTCAGTTTAAAAATTTCTGTTTCTTTTCGAAATTATTCTTCCTTTCTATTTTCATCCGCATACGTCTGTTGCCTTTCCGTTATCCTTTTTATGTATTCTTTATACATATCCATATTTCTCTTCTACACTTCTTCTCTTTTCCAACTCAACTCTTCTTTTTCTTTGTACTTCAGAACAACATTTGTTAGAATGAGTTTGTTTGTTAGCTCATTACCTGCTTTTCTAATTTCTCTAATTTCTCTAACTTATAAATCTATGTATCAACTATTTTGGAAAATCGTTGCTAAGCGAAACGGAGCAGGGAAATCAAAGTAATAAATATACCAGGTATCTAATCATTCAATGTATGTATGAATAACTAAAACTAGTCGAAGAACTTGATGTGTAGTTGTTCTTTGTCAACAGCACGTGAGCCCGCACGTGTCAAACGATTGTTTTAAATGTGATTCTTCCAGAAGGAAAATTTCTATACGAGGTACCAATGAAAATATTCTTGTCCGTCGCAGTTCTTCTAGTGGAGTTGTTCGGTGTGTAGCTGTGTAGTTGTGTAGGTGCTACACAGCAAACCGCGGGTTCGGATATTTTTCTGAGAAAATCTTATTTGTTCACTACCGATTTGGATCTTGTGCGAGTAACCGAAACGTTTTCCTGTTCAACAACGTATGATAACAGAACTTTGCGTGTACGGCCAATCTTCAGAAGTGTCACTAGTATCTCCATTCATTGTGAAATGCGCGTGATATTCCGTTGGACAGACTCCAGACGGTATTGGTCCTCCGAATCTTGGAGAACCGACCGCTAATTGTTAGCGAGCAAACGAAATGACCACTTTAGTGACCAGAGAAATCGATCCTGATTTCTCTGAGCTTATTCGCTGAGCTCGATAATGATCGAGCTCACTTCTTGACTTTACGCGAACGAGCAGTGAATTAGTGGGCCGCAGCCACGAACGTGAGTTGCTCCCGACTGGGGCGCTGGAGAACAGAGAAGTGGAGCTGCTACCGCGAGGGGAATCAATACCTCGCTCGCTCGCTCGTTCTGTGGAGGCCAAATGGGGGCCGGGGTAAGCGGGGTAGTCGGGGTAGTCAAGATAGTCGGGGTAGTCGGGGTAGTCAGAGTAGTCAGGCTACTCGGAGTAGTAGGGATAGCAGTAAAAGTAGGGGAAGGAAAAGTTGGCAAGGGAATGCGAAGAGGCCGGAACCGTCGGGGTTTGGAATGGGAAAATGGGTGACAGCACAGAAAGCGGGTGGGAAAGCGCAGTGGGAAGTAGTCTGTAGGGAAAAATGAGTCGTAGATATCGGTACTAGCTGCTGTTGTTGCTACTGTTGCTACCGTTTCTGATATCGTTGCTATTGCCGCCATTATTGTTGCTGCTACTACTTCTACAACTTTTAGTCAAGTAAAGAATACGTTCCGAAAATCGCGGTGCTCTCCTTTGCGCATTTTACGAAGAAGAAGCATCAAATACGATGCAACATAATCAATTGTAATTATCGATATTAAAAAAATTATAGTCTTGTTTTGACATGCTTGCGTTATCAATCTCTAGGTGTAGGTAATACATATATATTTACTTTACATACGCACACGCCTGAAATAAAATTCGAGATAATAATGTTTAATTTGGCGGTTGTAATAAGTACGAAGGCAAAATAACGTTGAAGGTATTCGAAAAACTATTTAAATATATAATCAGTCCACTTCCTCCGCTTTTCTCTTTTAAATTTTTCCATTAAACATCAATTTATGTTATATACATCATCTACATATATAAATGAATGTTTTTCTATATGAGTATGCCATTTAGGATGATGATATAATGAAAGGAAGAAATCATATGTAACTCGAATACATGTTCATAACAAAGCAATACAAAATTAATCCCTATCTGTTACTTTCTTTTCATCTTTCTATTCATCTAAAACTGATGTATCGTATTATATTGTGTTCTATCGTGTTATATCGTAGTACAAAGTAATAAAAGAAGGGAAAGAAGCGACATTGTGTACCATCAATGTTCAAGTACGATGCATAGAAATAGGCTGAAAGGTGACTCGTGCAAAGCATGTGTAGGCAGGGTCAGTAGGTTATCGACGTTTAACGAATAGATACGTATTTTTTTAGTACGTATAATTCTCTCTAACTGGTCACTATAAAAATACATTCATTCACACGTATTATATTTATTTTATGATCAGATTATGAACAACAACCGATACAATATCACGAAAATGTGATCATTTATTATCTACACGTAGGTCAAATTTATATAAATGAAATACACAGGAGAAAAATGAATGACTTTCAAAGAATATCGATAATGAGTATTATCCGATTCGAGACAGGGAACTGTTCTTTACTTTACTCCAATTATACGATTTATAGTTTTTAATAAATATATCTATCTTTTTGAAATTACTGTATATATACATACACACACACACACACACACACACACACACACACACACACACCTTATAAACACTATATGTCAATCTATTCTATCACAGTGTAACGAAAATTTTCGATAAACGAATTATCCTTTTTGATTGCATAAAATTTAACTCGATATAATTATTGTATTTTATTTGTCTGTTGTCAGTTTGTTATTAATCAAGTATCTGCGTTTATATTTTTACCTTATAAAGTGCAGCTAAGTGAAGCAATAGTGAACTGTTGAAGTGGGATATTGATATAAAAGGGTGATAAGGTCGACAACTACTTAGGGGACTCACCTCTGAGGACGTCAAGTAGCAAATTCTCGAGTCTGTGCTCTCCAGTGAAGCTTGTTGAACAATTCCATATCTGCCATCCCGATCGGACATATAATCCGATCTCACGCTGTCTTGTCTATCAAAAGTTCCTCTGCAAAATTCGAAAAAGCAAACACACACACAAAGTGTTATATCTTAACGATTTGGCGCAAAGAGGCACGTATGTATTGTCAAAATGAATAGAATAAACGTCTTAGAATTCATATCTATTGCGTAGATTTTAATTTATGATTAGAAACATAGCTTTACAATTATATGGTTAGTTAAATGTTTTGTTGCAAATTATTCACCTTTGTTCTAAAGAATCAGTTCGATTTGATTTATATCCGCTATCGTTAAGGCTGCCCTCGTGTCTTAGCGATGGTAAGGAATCCCAAGGAGAATCTCGTTTATGTCCCACATAACTTGGATTCATAGAACTAGAAGCACCAGAGCCAAGTGTCGAACTACCAGACTGCCATCCATCAGAGTGGCGAAACCATTGTGCACGTGCAGACTCTCCAACGCAGCTGGTACATCTTAAAATTTCAGCATTTTTATGTATCTACGAGTATACTATCTTGGTTACGTTATTCATTATTTCGAAAATAATCAAAAGCAGTTAACGCGAAAACGTACATTATATATGTAGAATATATTATTAGACAATATTAATATTTAATATATATTTAAACTAATATTCTTAAATGATTATCGTCTTTTATGTTTTCTTCGGAAAAGAATTAATAAGATGACATCTATTTGCTGACAAAAGTAAATTTAAAGTAACGAAATAAAATTCTATTTCCTTAAAAGATGAAATTCTTCCAAATTTTTTACTTTTTACTGATTCTCTACTTTCTTATTAGTTTGATCATTTAAAAGACAAAAGCAACAATTTACCTAGAATTATAATCACTAAGATATCCACGATCTCGGTCAATTTCTCTGTCTCTTTTCTCCCTAATCATTTCATTACGATCGCTGTAGTAACCGTCCCTATCTTTACTATTTTGTCTTTCATTGCAATAACGGTACGATAGTGGTAACGTTGACGATTTATTGGAACCGGGACCTGTGAAAATACCGAAGAATGCGTTAGACATAGAGAAAATACATTGCTTGAAAATGAAACGATAAATTTCATGTTTGAACGAAATTTATTAATTGCCGAAAGATTTCCTCAACTTTTCATTCATTATCTTTTAATTATTAAATACGGATAAGTAATACGACAGAATCAACAAGTCGAGTAATGTGTAGTAGAGTTTGGAGTATATATGTACGAAGACTTTTAAGAGGAATAAACAAGATACTTAATAAAACTTACGTCTTCGTGAAACGTGAGGTGTACGTTGAATGTTCAACGGTATATTTTTCGCAAATTCTGCAACATTGACGCTCGGTTTAGTATAGAAAAAGGAATAGAGGAAACAAAGAAGGCATACAAAGTGAAGGTAATGAAAGGAAAGGAGAGGGAACAAATAAAAAGTGGAAAAGGAAGGAAAGAATGTATGTACATAATACAGATGAAATTTGTCGATAATTTGAGAAATAGGTTTACTACTCACCTAAATCTTCCATGCTTTGCGTTAGCAAGGCCTCAAAAGTACGTAAGCTGTAGCTTTCGGCATCCATACCCTTGGCCAAAGTGTTCCTCAGATGCATCTCATATTCGAGAAGAAGCCTACTAGTTGGACTACCAGGTGTTGATACAGATTGCATGTTTTGTTGTTGATACGCCTGACCACCATTGCAACGACGCGAACTGCAGTGAGTTGGTTGTTCCATATCCGAGTTTCCATTCGACGAACTTGGCGTGGTCGCGTAACACTGATTATCGAAGATGACATTATCCGATGGCGGCGACATATCACCTGTGCATCGATTACGTTCCGAATCTAAATAGGTCCTGGCTCTGCTGCCTACGACAAACAGGTGCTTCATGCAGGAATTGGAAACGGTGTGATGTTTGTATTCAGCTGCCGAACGTAAAGAATCGTTACTTTTTTGCGTTCACGTTCATTCGATGGTGTAAGTTGACATGCGCCATGCATCCCTGTTAATCAACTACGCACCCCTTTATTTATTTATAGAATATGCAATGCAATTTTTTTTAGCACTTAGAACAATACGATACTAGCTGAAGACTAGTACGTGTAGTTCATAGAATCAGTCGATGTCAACAGCATTCAGCTCAATTCCGCTAGTTTATTAAGATTTAATGAATTTTTTTGCGCAACACGCAACACATAACACAGTATGTAAATGTGTACGTGTGTATGTGTCGCGACCAATAAAAAGAACCGTTGTTTGGTCACTTTTACTTGTTCAAAAATTTTTACAGAGTTAATTTCTGTCAACACAATATTGCTTTTCAAACAGGGATGCTTATGTACGAATACATTTCTTTTGCCAGTTTTCTCTCCTTAAGACCCCGGTGCAAGCGAACGGTTTGCGATAACGTCACTGCCGTGGTGATTTGCCGCTGTGTTATAGAATAACATTATTCGACGGACGAAAGCGACAGCAAATTGTAGCGGCGCAGTGGTGACGTTGCCACAAACCACTCGTCTGCACCGGTCCTAAGCCTATCATTACAGTGCATGCATGTATGGCGGATTCGATACGTTAAAGCAAGCGAACATGTATGGATGTATGTTCATAACTATACATGTATATATGTAATTATGTATGTATATATATATGTAGATTCTTACGAGTGTATGCATTTCGGTTTTCAGATGTTTCATTCGTCAAAATAACGGTTCATCAAAACGCGCATCTACTGTAAACATAGTCTTATAGTATATATTATACAATAATGTTTAACAATTGCACTTGACACTATACTCTTGTTAATGAATAATCATTTACAAAAATATGGATTTTTTCAATTAAATGAAATATACATAAGTAATGCATTTAAATATAGTTATACATAATATCGTTATTTTGAGTGTGAAATAAAAATTACGCTATTAAATTAATACGCGATAGAGATACTTCTTTTCTAACAGATATATATATATGTATCCATATAAATAAATAACATGCAAACAATCCAAAGAATAGAAGTTTCATATATTCGCAATAGTAAATAAGATATTTTTTGGAAAGAAAATGATAAGATAAGAGATTGAAAGATCACCGAAATTCTAGTTTCATATTATTATAAATAATTACATACGCTCGTGCATTTATGAATGTATGTATATGTGTAAAAAGGAATTTCGTGTCCCACTAAGTTCCAAATTGTAAATGAAACGAGTTAAATAAAAAAATATAACTAAAATCCGAGAGAACAAAAGTGAAAAAAAATGCGTAAATGAAATTGTTATCGTATGTACCAGTGTACTGACGTCCCATGTCATGCACGCTCCTAGATGCCTGGAACTTGTTATTATATGGTGCTCGATATAGATGAGCACAATTTTCATTTTCAGTCTCTTGCATAACGTATTTCTGATTGTTATTGCTTGGGTGGTAATGATAATTATGATGGCTGTGCCTCTTTCTGGTCATCTCTGGGGATGTAACAGGACTATCGATACTCGACATTGGTTTCAGCATTCTTTTCAAGGTATTCGAATCTAAACTAATTCCACCGTTCTGTGCATTTTCAATTCTCATATCATCGGTACTCTTGCTTTTTGATTTCTTTCCACTGTGATTATTGTTCACTATGTTGAAGATATTGCCATTTTGTATTTCCAAGTCTGTATAATCAGCAGACTTTGTATGATGTAATTGCTCTTTTCGTAAAGATTTATTTTGTAAAGTACCACCGGCTTGTGTACCCTCTGATTTTAGCATTTCAGTACTATTTTGTTGAGTAGACGAATCTTGACTTTGCTTCTGACCTTTCTTCGGAGAAACTGCAGCGCCTTTTTCTTCCGGGCTATCGATCTGTAATTCAGATCAAGCAGAAACAACTTATTCTTCTAACTTTCTTTTATATTTCACTTACTTTTATGCTTACTCGTACATTACTTACTTACTTTCTTACTTACTTATAAGTAGTTGCTTCATTTTGTTAGTTATATTGAATCGAATGTTAACTTTAATGTATATGTATGTTACGATGTTACACATTCTATATACGTATAAGAATATACACATAGATAATGATTGTACAACTTACCTGTGATCCAACGGTGACTGTTTCGATTCCTACGTTTGCCGTCTTTGGTGTAGTTTGACAGGTTTCATTTTGTTTCTCCTTTTGCTTTGATTCGCCTGTTTTCGGTGTTTTTCCTGGCGTTACATTCGCATTGTTAACGTTGTCGTAGAGAGATGCACTGGATGTTGCTGCAGTTATTTTATCACGAGCTGGTGTCATTTCAACTTCCGTGGATCTTGCCATAGTTCGCGGAAGCGTAGAAGTGCCTGGATTATGTATAACAGAATAACAGTAAAATAAACAGAAATATATCAAACATCGTACTATCATGTAAAAAATCGGAATGCAAATTGACGTTTAAGTAGATAGCTCAGTGTCAGCATATAAATAATTAACTTAATAATCTATTAAACATGCGCGCCTCTACTTGAACACAAGTATGTTAAATTTTTCGTTCCCCTAGATTACTTGTCTATTATGCAATCTTGAAATTAATTTACGTATATATTAATATACAACTTAACAAATATATCGTACCACAAAAGCCTCGATATCTAGCTTCTTGGCTTCGAAACCTGGCAAGTTGTTCTGGGGTCATACAAGTGCATTGAGGCTCCCTGGATCTACTCGGTGATGCCGGTGTCGATAAGGGCTTTCTCCGGGTTTTGATCTTTTGTTTGTTAGGTGGCTCAAGCTTCAACGAGTAAGAAGAGGACGCTTTCCTTGAAATCTTGAACGACGGTGACTGTACGAAAAATTAACTAATGACTGTAAATGACTCGAATACCATGAAACTTAATGCCGATCCCTGTTCTTATGAAAATGTCCAAAATGATTCCATGCGTACCGCACAAAAGAACATTCGTTATAAACTTACGCAACATTCTCTGAATTGTTTAGCATCTATTGGAGAAGTAAAATTCAATCCCCACGTATCGTTGGTCATTGTATCTTTCCAGTAAACAAAACACTCTGATGCTTGTCCGATACGTGTGCCTAGAATAATATTAATTATCTTTTAATAAGTTACATTTCTGTCTATCGTCTTTCATACGATATCAAGTAATGATCTTACCTGGTTGAACTAATCGTACATCCAAAATTTTGTCCACCTGACTGTTGTATGCGGTAATATGGAAAATACATTCTGGCGAATCCTGAATGCATGTGATATTTACAGGAACTAAATCCTCGGAGACCTGCTGCCACTTTACAGTCCCTGCTCCACTGGCACTTACATGGAACACTTCGGCCCATAGTCTAAAAATTTTTATTGCTAAATTGTAATTGATCACAGTAAAAATATTTGTTGAGCGGATATATCGAACGGATATATCGAACAGATTACTACTGAAAGGAAACGAACAAAAACAATTCAAACGAACAAGATGTTTGAATATCAGTCAGCGTAGAAATATCTATTCAGCACATGGTATGACTACTATTGTAAATAACGTTCTCTATTCTCCGTCTTCCTCTTCTTCTACTTGTTCTTCTTTTTTTACCTTTTCTTCATCTTCTGCTTCACCTTTTAGCGCGTGGTAGTACATGAATAATTTACAAGGAAGAAATCAAACTAATATGTCAGGTGAATGTCGTTGACAAATTTCAACAGATCGGTTTGAATAAAGATAATCGTACAGAGTGTACATCTGTTTCGTTTCGTTAATCAATTGTTACAGAATACAGACTTACACTTCGCATTTAATCGTGAGGAAAACTCCGTTTTTTTAAATATTTGAATTTTAATATTGAATTTTGATATATAGTAGATATATGTATGTAACGCGATTGCGAAATTAGCAGCAAGCTAAAAAGTTTATACATTTCGAGTGTCGAAATACATAATATAAGACATTTTTGTGTACAAAGACAAAAATAGATGTCTATTCCGAATTCTTTCTTTCTGTCTTTTTTAAAAGGATATGTCTTAATCCTCGGTAACTACTAATTAATTAACTTTTACTAATACAATTACGGTTGAATCTCAATAAGTTGAATCTCAAGGAAAGAAACAGAATCTTTGAATTTTTCGAATAAGAAAAGTTTAACAAGCGGGAATTTAACAAACTTAAAGAAATTTCGTGCAAGGAATAATATTTTTCAAATTGTGACAATTTGAAAAAAAAGATTAATTTTCGAAGGTGAATTTTTTATTTATGAAAATAAATGATAGTTTACTTTATATTATATATAACTTGGGTGTGAGGGATACGCGCATGATGCAGAAATCTAAGACTTACAGAGATAAATTTCAAATTGTAGAGGTTGGCCTTGTTTAAATCCGAATTATACAGGTAAAATAACGCACCTAAACACGTGGCAAATAATTCGAGATAAAGTAAGTTTATATATCCAAAGCGGGTCGGAAAGCAAAGAATGAAATTGTAGTGTTATAGAAGTTTTCGCGTCCTTGAGCTTCAACTGTATTATTCAGCAGGCAATAGCAGAAACTTAATATCGTAAATAAAAGACTGTGAGGAAAATATTTATTTCCAAATAACTTTAACGCAGTCCAAGATTTAAATCGTCCCCATAATATTCTATATATCGTCCCTATAATATTCTATATATCATCCCTATATTATTCTGGAGTTGGCTATATCAATGAATGTTTCTTCTCACTTGTTACGGTTTTAATTTAGTCGTTTCCCTTTTGCTTTTCATTTCTTTTTCTTATGTTCTGAAATTAAAGAGTACAAGATGCATATTTGTATTTTCAATTCATTTTTGAAGAGACATGCATGTCAATAACGTAAATAATTAAAGTATCGGCTAATGTGCATGTTTTGTTGTATAAATTAAACTTACAACGTATCGCGATCCCACTATCATCATTTTTGTGCAGCGTTATTATGCACGATTTCTTTCTTTTGAAATAGAATGCAATAATAATTGTATCAAATATAATTGCATAAATTGCAATGTGCATGCAATACAGTCCTAAATTTAACAGATAACGTGTTACAGTCATATAAGCATGACGAAATTTAATGGATAAAGTGCAAGAAAAGATTAACTCATATAAGAGCATGTATATCCTAAAGTGAACGTGTTACTCATATTAACAGAGTATCAATAACATTTATGGTTAGAATTTTTAAATAATTCTAGAATTATATTGGTTTGAAAGTATATAATAATTTTAAGCATAATAAAACTACAGAAATGTATAACTGACCACAGCATATGATTAAACAATGTTCAAAAACGAATTATACATTTTTAAGATCTGACATAGTTGTCAAATTATTATATGTATAGCTATAAAATCCTCCAAAAGATTTATGTTACGATATTAATTTTAAATTTAATAGAAAATCATATGTTGTGCCTCCGATATTAGAAAAGATAGAAATATGATTAAGTAGAATTTCAGCTAAGACAATGGGCGATATGGCAACTAAATGACAGAAGATCAGGGATAGATAAAATAGGATATGTATCAAAAAATGAAGTCAGAATAGAGAGAAAGGAAGAGAAAGTGATTTGATGCGAAATACGTATATAGATGATTGTAAATATAGGTACATATGTGCGTGTCAGAGAGAAAATAGTAAAAAGACAAATAAACAAGAAATAAAAAGAATGGAAGCGAGCGAAGAAAAAAAAGGAAAGAGGAAAATCTCAGGTAGAACAATTTAATTAAACGCGTATTTAATCAACATTATTACAATAGATGATAGTCTTTGGGCATATTTCAAGTATCAGAGAGGAGAAAAGAGAAGATCTTCAGTTTCACGAAATATTGCGCGCTCTTATTTAAAATTCAAATTGAGGAAACAGTATGCGCATTATGGGCTAAAGGTACACGCTACTGCTACATAGATACAGCAGGGAAATAAAGATAGTGATTAGTTCTCTTAAAAAGGACAATGTAAAAGCAAACAGTTCGAATAAATATATTCTACCTGAGGAGAAAACAAGTAATAGTGCATTCGATGTAAATGTGTATGTATGTGTTATATGGGGATAATTGAGTTGGAAGCTAAATGAGAAGGAGCAATGTGTTTTCATGAGTAAGTAGCCTTCCTAAAATGTAAAGACTGATAATGGAGTCGAATGGAGTGGTTGAATGGTTGAATGGTATGGTATGCGCACCTCTTCCTTTCTCTTAAGCTTCCGCACCTGAGCAAGTGGCCAGTGTCACCCCTGCGACCTCCGCTGCCGCCCATTCCGCCCCTCGCGCCAGCCTGCCATGGTGAATCCTCGTAACGATAAGCCTTTCTGATAAGAGGAGCACAACTGCAAGACAACTTATTGCCCATTCTATTCTTGTTATTCTCTTATACCACCTGTAATCCTTCCTTCTTTCACGCAATCTTTGAATAATCAATTTACTGTTTTTTAACAACTACCACTATTTCTTCCTTCTTTGTGCTTTCCTTGTCTGTTTGTGTTTCCTTCGTTAAGATTTGATCTTAATCAACCTGTTCTGTTGTGTGCGTTTTGCAGTCAGTGGTCAACCCCTCGTTTCTTCTTATTCTTGTTGTTCCTTTTTTGCTCCCTAATTATCGATGTTTATCGGAATATCAAGATGCTGTATATTCACGTTGATTGGCTTGTCTATCGACGTTTGGCACCGTTTTCATTAATCATCGATTTAGTTGATGATAATTTTTATTTCATTCTCTTGTTCTATTCTGGGAAGCACTGTATAACAGGGACAATACCCCGCGATATGAGAAAGGATGTAGGAGAATATACCTTTATTGTCACATCATTGCAGGTGTTCAAAAGTTTATCAGCTTGCCCCTGACATAATCGCTGGAAATATAATAATTGTATCATATTAATTTAAAAATTGTCAGTGAAACAAGCAAAAAAAGAGAAGAAAAGGAGAAGATTCTGTGTCGGTCATCAGCCTCACAAGTCACCTTTAACTTTAACCTCAAGTTTATTTAATCCGATATTGTTTCTTTGGACAGTATCAGAGAGAGAGAAACAAGCTTTACATTAGAATATAGTAAAATTGCGTAATGTTACAATTCAGTTACATAATTACTAATAAGAAGAAAGCATTTGGTCAAATATCTTTAAAAATTATATGCAAAAGATGATATATTCTTTGCTTCAAATTATTTCGATACTTAAAAAAAATAATTACGATGACACAGTGTCATACGACGGCACAGACATTAGCGAGGTGAATGAAGCGGAACAAAGTGTTGCGTGGACGTGTTACGGATAATAATAGGGGTGGCGTTGCCGAGAGGGTTACTGAACCGATACAGACTTTTCACCTACATAATACGCATTACTCTGTTATACTTATATTCGTTATTTCCTGTGTGTATAAATATTGGTTTACCTCAATACTGTTCGCTATTAAAGTTATACCTACCTATTTGTAATAACAAGTAGCGCCATTTTTGCTTCAAAAACGACGAAATATCAATATACATACAAGCTTTTGGGTATTGATACAATACGACGCAATCATTTCGGCAAACAGGAATAAAAATACAGATCGCGAAATTACTAGGAACAATTAAAAGCAGCTAGGTAAATGTATCTTTAGATGAATATATTTAGTGTCTGTTAATCCGGTAAATAAGTGTTGGAACAAAATAGAATGACAATTAACGATGTGAATAAAAAGGACACTACAGCTCGAAGTAAATCTTGATTAACCATCGAAAATGCTTCTCAAAATATCATTTCGAAACTATTTAACAAAAACATTGCGCAATTAACGATAAATAGCACATGTCACTGTAACTAGTAACTAATCATGTTATCGAATAATAAAGGAAGACCGACACCGCCTAATCGAAGATATTTCACTGTGGAATTCGAGTAAACATTGCACCAGCTAGGATATCCCCATTTGCTGTTTGGTGTTTAATCAACGCCCCTCGTTCCTCAACTTTCAACAAGAAACTCTTCTATTCAAGGTCCTTTTTAGCCTTTCTCATTTTCTGAACACCCTCTGAATACACTTATCGTATGCTTTTCGTTCTTTCTCCTTTTACGATTCTCCTTCCTCGCCCTCCACCGCCCCACTCTCGCTCCCCCTCTCCCTCCTCAGTCTCTTTTTCTCACACATTTACTCTGCCCAGATAAATAAGTGTACACATATCTTCTTGTGTCCGCTCGTTTGTCGCCTACTCATTTGTACAGGTTCGTGTATTTCGACTTGATTTAACCACGAGAAAAAACTCACCATTGCATTGGCGGTATCTTCGCCACAGCGGAAGATGTCGAACACGTTCTATGTTTGACGGTAAAAGAAGATGGAAGTAGAATGACAGTGAGAAAGAAAAAAAGGGAGAAACGAATAGAGAAGGAAGGAAGAAAAGGATATATGCTGTAGTAGGAGATAGAAAGATAAACGAACGGATGAGAAGGGGTTAGGGACGGAATCAAAGAAGGGATGGGCTACCGCGATCGTAGTAGCGGGGTGTGAGATCACGGTATCCACCCTTTTCGAAAGCAAATGATTCGCAAACGATCACCTGTCAAACAATAAGCGATAGTCGACCTAACGACTGACGTCGTTCAACAGGATCTAAAACACCTGACAATTCACTGACAGACTATTTAAAATAAAAGATTACGCGTCCGAAATTTCCGGTATTTCGCGCGAAATCCTCGCGGACGGCGTAGTCATGGATACTGCAGGATCGGGTAAAAGAGGCGACTGCCCCGTTACCCACTACCCCTTCTTCTACGAATGCGCGCCCCTCGACCGAAAATGTCAATATCCTCTCTCGCTGCGCCCGCGATGCGCTCCATGTTACTCTGAACAGCCCTGTATGCGTTTTCCCATTCCCCTTCGTCCACCTCCTTTCGACCCCTACACCAGCCCTTTCCCCCTCTTCTCCCCCTGAGTTTTACTCCTACTCCTACTTCTCTGCCCACCCCTCACCTGTTCCTTCATTCTCCCGATTTTTTCCTTTCTCACCTCTTCCTCATCCCCACTTATTCTTTCTCTTTTTATCTCTCTCAGTTTACTTCTCTCTCATTATTTCTCCTTCGGACTGTATGTCGATTACGTGTCTCCCCACTTTAGTCCTATCAGCAAGTACTTAAACAGGGATGTCACACAAAGATCAAACTATTTTTACTAAAATTTCGAAAATTTACACCTTATTTCATTTCTTTTCACTCAATCAGCTTATGCACTTTTCTCTTCAAAGTCTTCACTTTTATCACCTTTATCCCCTTTTGCATTTGATCAATTATACCGAATCAATTATTTAAACTTTCGTTAAACTCACCGTGAAACAAATGCAGGGTGATCGCTGTCACCGTCGTTGTCGCCGTCGTCGTCGTCGTCGTCGTCGTCGCCGTCGTCGCCGTCGTCGTCACCGTCGTAGTCGCTGTCGTACCTCTATCCCGAGGCGTAACCATAGTGATTAGCGATCGATAACAGGCATGCGCATTGTCAAATTTACTCGTAAAACGAAAGAACCACCCTCGTTTTACTCTCTTGTACCACATGATCCACTGCTAAAAGTACCACCAAAGATTAACGAAACCACATCTTCGATCATCTATGCGCATGTAGCATAATTTATTATCATACACGGACTCGAGTATCATCGAGCCTTTCTTTTTTTTCTAATTGATTAAACGTGTTCAGTAATTAAGGTATACATATCTATATAAATAAATTTTATCCCTATTCGTATACATAGTGCGTCAACGTGCATATATAATTCAATGATATATACAGAATTTTCAAAATCATGAATGATTTTCATTTCACACACAATTCTGATATGAAACCTTCAAATATAATTATAATATATTATTATTGTTATTATTATTATTATTATTATATTGTAACATATTTAGCAATATAACAACCAAATAATGCATGTATTTCTTTTAATGTTTATTATATATAAATAAGTATTCTGTATATATCTATTATATTTAATACTTAAGAATGAAACAATGAATAATATCAATGACATTATATGGCGTTCAATTATAATTATCATTATCTTTCGCTAATTTCTTTTTTTAATATTAAATTCATAAACTTTATCTTTTATTATAACAGATTATATAATGTAATAATAACATTGATTGTGAAAATGTGTGACTATTGATGTAAATATTCTAAATGAAAAAAATATTCGTTTATACATATACATTTGTATGTACATTTTATTTGAATTTATTGCTTTTAATTCGTCAATAGAAATAGAATTTCTAATCGTGGTACATTTCAATTTAATAGATAATAATGACAAAAATACGTAAATAAGACGTTACACAAACTTAATCACGTACATATATATGTATATACATGATATATTTTACACATATATATGTACTCAAATCCATATACATATATATCAAAGTATACATATCAAAGAAAAAAAGAACAAATAAAAAAAGACACACGACATTAACGTTCAATTCATAATTCGTATTGGATACAGCTATTGGATACGCATTGAATACAGGAGAAATTAATGTTAGACAATTTTATCATGGAAAAGAACTTTAATCAAAGTCACTAAATTATCCATTTTTCTAACATCATGTGTGAATTTACATTGTTAAATTATAAAAGAAAATATTTCTAATATTGCTGCGAATTAAATTAACAGAACCTCTTGAACGTAACCTATCTTTAAATCTTACATTATTTAGTGCCCAACTGAAATCAATGTGGAAAATGTTAAAAAGAATAACGCAAAATCTAAAATCAAATATTGGAAGCATACAATCTCGTTTTCTTAGTAATGTATTAGCCAAATATAAAGAAAATGTTGAGGACAAAATGCAAGCTTGGCAAATTCACTCATACGGTGGATTGGAAGAATTAAAACTTTCAAATGTTAGGATTCCAGTGATCGCTAAACCAACAGATATTCTTGTCAAAGTTGAAGCCTCTAGCGTAAACTCCATAGATATAGCTATGACAAGTATGAATTATCTTATACTAATTGTCAGTTTCTTTTTTGTTTCTTACAGCTTAAACAATAAATATGTAGCATCATAATTGAATGTTTTATATTAGAAGGATATGGCGCAGTAATGTTAAATTTAATGAGAAAAGCTAGAAATCTTACCAGTGGACAATACGGTGAATTAGAATTGCCATTAACTCTAGGTAGAGATTTTTCTGGCATAGTAGTGTCAAAAGGACACGGTGTTGGAGATAGATTAATGTTAGGTGATGAAGTATGGGGTGTAGTTCCTGTGGAGCAACAAGGTTGTCATGCTGGTTATGTAGTTGTTGATAATAAATCGGTAAATAAAATTGGATAAGTAAATAATAAATATAAGGATACATTGCGATATAACATACAAAATATATAAATTATAGTGATGTTCATTCATAGGTCAGTCTACGACCTAGAAATTTATCATACATCGAGGCTGCCAGTATATTGTATGCTGGCCTTACAGCATGGTCTGCATTATGGATTACTGGTGCGTTGTGTTATAAAACTAGAATGGCTACAAGAAGAAATAATAGAGTCCTAGTAATAGGTGGTTCAGGAGGAGTAGGAACTATAGCAGTACAACTTCTAAAGGCTTGGAATATGCATGTAATACAAATTGATATTGTCATTTGTGATACAAGTAAGAATTATTGTTTTTATGTATTATAAGACATATTAAAATGATTCAGGTCATTACTACATGCAGTAGTGATGCTGTAAATATGGTACAAAAGCTTGGACCTGATGTTGTAATTGATTATAAATTAGATGGTGCTGATTCAAGAATTATTGCAGAGGGGCCGTATGTAATTCAGTCATTAATTTATCCTACGTTAAAGAATGTCTATTTTTGATATAAATTTTATTAATTTCCAATTCAGCTATAATATAATTTTGGATTGCGCTAATCAAGGGGCAGATCAAATACGATTAAGGGGTTACCCCCATAGTACTTATATAACTTTGAATTCTCCAGTACTAAAAAATACCGATCAACATGGATTGATTGTGGGTACAGTGAAGAATATAGGAGAGCTGGTAAAATATAATATTCCAATCGAAAATAAAAGTACAGTGAAATGGGGATTTTTTATTCCTTCTGCAGCAGGAATTAAAACACTTAAAGAATTTGTCGAAAGTGGAAAGGTATATACACACACATATATCATCATAATATAGTATACCAATATCTTCTTACTTTGCACAGGTGGTTCCTGTGGTTAAGAAAGTCTACCAATTTCAAGATTTACCATTAGCTTATGATAGAGTAACTCAAGGTCATTTACGAGGTAAATTGGTTATTGATATGAGATAGTATCATCAATGCAATAGTAATTATTAAATAAGTATACATCTTATTTTTAAATAAATGTTCAGTTTACATTATATATTGTGTATTGTATTTTGTACTGATTTATTTTCATGAAGAATGTCATTTTTAAAACCGATTTTATTTTGAACTTCACACCAACAATCACTAGCTATATCTGTTGCCCTTTCTGTACCGCTTTTCAAAATTTCTTGCAAATAAACTGGTTCCTTAATTAATCTTGAAAAATTTTCACGAATAGGAGTCAATTTTTCTATAACTAAATCCGCTACCACTAATTTATATCTGCAATACACAAATAGATAAATGAAAAATAACTTAAATACATAGCGAGCAAAGATAAAAAAACTTAATATCTTAATTTACATACTTTCCAGTATCTAGTTCTTCTACTTCAGAACATATTTGATTTGGTGATTTTCCACTAAGCATGGAATGAATAAGAACTAAATTTGCAACACCAGGCCGTGTTTCTGGTTCATAAGTTACTTTCGATATACAATCAGTAACTGCCTTCTTTATTTTTGTTGCCAATACTTCTGGCTTATCTAGTATATCTAATCTGCTCTTTAGATTTTGGTCAGATTTTGACATTTTCTTTGAAGGGTCACGAAGAGATTTTATACGTTGACTTGCATTTTCTGCAACATATGCATTCTATTAGCAATAAATATATCATAAAATATATAGTTTATTTATCTTTAAATAAATAACATTTTTACCATTAACTAAAGAATGAGGCACAGGAAAAGTATTTCCAAATCTTTTATTGAATTTAATGGCTAACTCTTGTGCGAATTGAATGTGCTGAACTTGATCTTGTCCAACTGGAACATGTGTTGCTCTATAATATGCATTGTTTTTTTTACTAAATTATAGTTTCAATTAATACAATATATTAATGTATCCTGGGGATACCTACTTATACAGCAATATATCAGCACTTTGTAGAACAGGATAAATATATAAACTTAGAGGGACATTTTTTAATGTCTGACTTTTCTCTTTGAATTGAGGTAAGCGAGCTAGTCTTGCTAAAGTTGTTAGACACCCCAAAATCCAGGACAGTTGTGCGTGTGTATCCACAGTAGATTGTTGAAATAATATGCTCTTATTTGGATCAATACCGCATGCTAGTAATGTTGCCGTGATTTTAAATATGTTATCATTTAAATCCTTTGGATCCTATAATGTTTATTCTTAATTAACTTGTACTCATATTTCTTTTCTTTTCATTTTAACGAAACCAAAACTTCGTTTTTTATAAACAGATATATATTTAATAAATAGAATAGATATAGTTCTTTGAGTATGTTACCATTAAATACAGAACATAAATTCAATAAATCTTTACATGCGGTAAAGTAGTAGAGTGCATATCTGCAATGCTCCAAATAACATTTTCTCCGCTATCTTGTAACTGTACCCATTTTTGTATAGCTCCAAGATAATTTCCCAAATGCAAGTTTCCAGTTGGTTGAATTCCCGAAAATATTCTCTTTGGATAGTCACTTTTGGAAACCTATAATTAATTTTGTGATATATATGAAATCTATATATATTATATATGTGTGCGTGTGTTACACAATTTTTAACATAATTAAAATTAACCTTTTGACTGTATTCTTTCATAGTTATGCATTTGAAAGTATTTCTTCGACGCGTGATAACGTTTTTCAATCTCGTGAACATTTTTTATCCATTCAGCACCGCTGTAGTTATAAAATCAAAACTTATAAAATCAAAATCAAAGTTATAAAATCAGATATTAAATACTTGTTTTGAATTTATCGTAACAACCATCTAGTATCAAATTAAATACGATACACATTTTACTATTAGAGTTGAGATTTTGTGACATTAGAAACCTCAAAACTTGGAAACCTGGAACTTTGTACTATTTTTATGATCTGAAACTTAATTGATACAATTCTACAAATAAATAATTTATAGTCTATTTTCTAGACAAAATTTATTAAAATATTAATTTCTAACAGAATAGGTACTCCTCAGAAAAGGAGGAAAAAGATAAGCATTCCAGATTTTGATAGCTTCGAAGCTTTATAAAGTCTTGTCTTCAGATACAAGTTCTGTGAATATAAAAATTAGATTTCGTCTGATCTTTAGTTTTTATTCATATTCTTATATGTACATATTACATATATACTACATCTATGATACAATCACTGATCATTAGACATAGCTCTTACCATTGACTAAAAACAATATAGGTGTAACACTAAACGGAACTTTGTGTCTCACATTTTGTAATATCGACCTGATAAAAAATCGGAGTGTTTCTTATGTCCTCTAGATTTACTACAGAGGAAACAGGAATTATGTATATTTAACTCGAGAAGTTAAACCTGTTAAACATGTAAACTATAAACGTAAGCAATAAGGGGAAGCAATTGATGAACTTCTTAATAATTCATAGGAGAAAATTACTACATTAATTATGGTTGAAATTAAAATCAAATTTTTTTAAATTATGAAGAACGCAATTGCAATACGAATATTATATGTATATGAATATAGTTACTTATATATATAAAAAATTAAATACTATTAAAAATGGATGGGAGACTATGTAAGGGAGGAAGACATTATATTGTATGTATATGGAATATAACCAATAAGAGTCTTCTTCTGTCGAATTCACAATGGATTCTGAAACAAACTCAAACCACAAAAAATTTAGTACGATCCTATGAGATATGTAATTAATTACCAATAGAAGAGATTTAAACATCATTTCATCGTATTTGTGTATCTTTTCCTTTTTAATGATTTCTTTTAATTCATATATTACACTTTTGGACCATTAACGCTGATATGTATTGTAGAGGTTATCAAAAATTCATAGGTATAATTGATACTTCTTAGAAGTTGATAAATTTGCAAATACTTATTTATTTATAGTATTTTAAACGATATACGAGGAAAAGTTTAGATATGGCAAACTCTCCAACTTTGCGTTATCTGAAACATAAAAACACTCTCCCTGGAGAATCTGACTATGAAACAAAAACTGTGAGAATACTTAGAGAACAGAAAAGTACAGAAGAACGCGATATTTAATTATTGAAAATTTTGGAGTGAAATAAATAACTATTACCTGGTATTATATACATAAGTAAATTGGGTACACATACATATGTAGTTTTTATAAAGGTAGACGGGCATCTTCCTCATTGTTTTTAAAAATGTAATGGGCAAAAGCTATTTATATCATACTGTACATAACATTTTCATTTATTTTTCTATTTTTTATACAAAACAAGTATAGATCGTGTGTGCAAAATGAAATACAAATATGATTTACTTTTTTTCATCAATATTTTTGTCACTTAAAAATTTTCACCTTTTAAGCTGTAATATAATTGCACTGAACGACTTTTTTCTTTATTTTTTTTTATTATATAAGAAGTGTCCATTTATATTAAAGTATACGTACGCTATGATGAATTTCCATTACCTTCAGTTTCAGAACAACACAAAGATAAAAATCACGATATCTCATGCTGTTTGTCATAAGGCAGTTCGTATGTCTTATTAGTAAGTCTGTTTATTTTGATATTATGATTCTGAAAAATATAGATAAATTTGTTGAAACATTACATAAAGATAAGAATAACAATGTAATTCAAAATTGTCATATAATTGTCTAATTATCAAATAATTGAATTATCGAGAAAATCTAGAAAAACAGTGGTAACAAAAATATGAAGGGTCGAAAGACATATTCAGTGTAAGTTGAAATATTAATAGTGTATCTTCAGTTGAAATATTAATCTTAATTTTAATTTCTATTTTAATTAAAATATAAAATATAAAAGTAAAATCAAAATTGTTATTCCTATATAGAATAATTATTGGAGCAGGCATTGCTCCTTAAATACGTATTCTTTATTTTAAGTTATTTGCATTTTTACATTACAAAAAGTTTATATATAAAGTACTAGTTTGTTTTAACTTTACAACAATAACACTTACATATAAATACAAGTTACGATGAGCTACATAATAAAAAATACAATGATATTGCTAAAGCTTAGTGTTAATTCAGTATAAACTCAATTGAACCACCCCTATTATCCTAACAGAAATAAGGGGATCGATCAGTTTGTGGCTTCGATTATCTAATCGTAACGGGAATTTACGACTCCCTTTGACGTGCTTTCTCGCGATCGCGTCTCTCCGCGAATGGTCGAATAAACACTTAGAGAACAAGTATTTATAATTTACGAAACTTCTGGCTTCAATTACAGAGACTTACACTAAAGTATGCTCTAGGCCCTCCACATGTTTGATGCCACATGCTGTGCATTTATTATAAGTCTGGGCATCACCTGTTGCTGATTTGAATTTGCAGTAGAACTAGTAATAATAGTAGTGAACGAAGGTTGTTGAGCGCATGTTCTCATATGCACTGACCAATGTGATTGTTGGCAAGGATAATCACAGTATGCAGTATTCCAACAGCAGTAAAATAATGCTTCTCTGCCACACATTGCACACCATTGTTTACGTTTGATTTCTTCGATACAACGTAACATCCCCTCTTCGGCTTCTCTACGAGTTTCCTCGACAGCACGTAATCGTTCAGCTTCTAGGCTTGCCTTCATTTCTCTTAATATTCTGTCTGTAATAAAAAAATATTTGCGAAATGTATATGTAACCTTCGTAAACAGACATAATAACATGTAAAATAAAATGACGCACGAAGCGTCCTGCAAAGACATACCAGTGTTGTGTTTTAATTCTGTTAATTGTTGTTGGTGTTGCCACCTCATTCGTTCTATCTGTAATCTTAAAAAATGGACTGACGCTTGATGATTTTCGGACATATTACGATTTTCACAATTTTGATTCTCATACGCTGCTTCCTTATATGCCTCTTCCATTAATTTAGCCATTTTTGTGGCTAAATCTTGAGCATCATGATATAAACGGGCACTAATAGGACCTGCTTCTGGGGGCAACATTTGGTACTCGACACAATTTTCAGCCTGATGAGTAGACGTATGAACAGTAGACTCGATCGGACTGGATAATGTATTTATCGATGAAGGAGAAATATGTTGCGGGTAATTACGAGGTTTATTAGGAAATGATTTTCTAGCTCTATTTTCCTTTACTTGTTGATCTTTTATTCTCAACGAATCTCTGAAAATTTGTTGTACGTGAGCCGAAATATTGCCCTTTTTTTCATTCTCGGTAGTTTCCTCAGTACACTTTTTCGTGATATTAGATTTATCATCATTTGCTACGAAAAGTAACCCGACAGGTTGATCTGTAGTATTTCTTCTGTTAATGTCAATATCGCCATTAATATCAACATCAAGTGATGTTTTATTAGTTTGTACTGAAATGGACGATGTTGTTAAATTACTATTATTATCACTTTTAGAGCCTTCTTTCAACGTCATTGAATCATTCTGACGTTTAATCAAAATTTTCGATTCTACCATATTTTGATTTTGTTCCGTTGTAATAAATTTTAAAGCTTTCTCAGCGTTCATTTTATCGACTATTCTAGTCTTTGGCTTGTATACTTTTTCTGTGTTTTCATGGTTTCTAAAATTATTCTTCTGTAAATTTACATTTTGGCCGACATTTCTTTTAATAATGTTCACTTTAAAGGGAATTCGTTTTTTGGATATGTGAATGTCTTTTGCTATATGCTTTTTCGGGGATTTTATCTCTTGTTGTAATGAATTCTCCAAGGATTTTGCATTATTGTTTGTTGCATTTTCTGGATTAATATCTTGTTTCAATATTGTAGAATTTGGTGCTTTCGTGTCATATTTTATTGGATTACTGATACATTTCTCATCATTTGCACTATTTGTATTAGTTTTACTTGTACTTGGCGTATTTATATCTTCTTTCATCACCACTTTGAACTTTGCTGACATATTCTTCTCTGATTGCATATTCACTTTCCTTTTTCTTTCTCTTGGTTCATTTAAATTATTAGTTGTAATCGTAACCGTTTCGGTTTTGTGAAAGTTATCAGATTCTTGTTCTGCTTTAAATGATTTATTTTCAATTTTGCTTCCTTTGTTAGTTACGTTAAACTCATTTGATATTTTATTTTCAGTATCGGAATTGTCTGCTTTTTCCGAGTTTGTTTGCAAATTATTTTTTACATGAACCCGCTTTTTAAGAAGCGGCGTCTTTTTGGGAAGCAAGAGTTGCGGTGATGTACAGTTATTAGAATGAAGAGGATCATAATTTGGTAACAGTAATTTTATTTGCATTGGATCATGCGGATTATATTGCACTTTGGGAGGCGCAAATGTAAATTGGCCAAACACAAGTTCTAGCTTGCGACAGTGACGAGTAATTTCCCTAACACACTCTACCATATCTAATTTTCTCTTCCTCGGTAATGGAGCAGGTGGGTTTTCGGAATATAGATACAAATCTCGCGGAGGAACCCATGCTCGATCGTGTTCCCCAAAAAATCGTACATCAATGAAACCTTGAGAATTGATTCGAGGCATAGCTTTAGCAGGCCAAAATGGAAAGCCTTTCAACTTCGCCCACACAAGTGGATGAGGACGACGACAGGGTTCAATAAACCATGCTGGTTGTGGTCTTGGTAAGTTTCTGCCATGAGCATAACAATCAGGGCATGCTTCAATTTCTGATACTTCCTGACGTGCCAATTTAATAATCTGTTTCGCGGCATTCGTTAATTTAGATGTATCTGTGTATACACCACCACCTGTATAATTTAATTTAAATAAAACCCATTTAAGTATAATTTTTCTAATGTACTTAATTCTAATATAATATTAATTTATGTTTACACACATACATGTGTTGAATACAATACAATTGTGTTGTATCCACTTGGCATCAGCCATGAATGCGTCTGTACTACCATATAATTTAGCCCGAACATTCGATTCTAAAAGGCTCAGATCCATTGGCTTTACCACATAATCTAAATAATTTGGAGCCTCAGAAAGTTCCACTGGTTTCCAAAATGGTTCTGACTATGACCAAAATACTTGAATTCAATTTTACTAGAATAATACAATAATAATTTAATATAAATAGAAAATTGATACATACACCGGGATATTCTCTCATTCTGTCGACTACATGTTTCAGTAATAAACATAATTGGTCAACAGATAGTTGTGCCATAGCTGTAGAACGTGTTTCTGCATTCTCTGCCTGTAAAATAGCTGCACATTCCCCACATATCCAATTTTGAATAATCGACTGTTGCATTCCTATACATTTTCGATGCCATGATCTAGGGCAAGCACTACAATGTGCTTCTACAGATTCCTTGTGACATCGCCAACAAAATTTATCATTTGTATTTCTCCTTTTTCGCTTATTTCTCAAATAATTTTCATCTAAGGAAACATCCGTCTCTTGTATACTGAAAGAATAAATTTAGTTTCTAGTTTATTTTATTTTGTGAAATATTAATTTTGGCGAAATATTTAGAATCCTAATTCCTAGCACTATGTCCTTACACAGACTCACATTTGTAAGTAAAATAAAATAAAATGAAAAATGTTGAACAGTAAAAATAAACATTGTCTATGCTTACCTAACATTTCGTCGTGTCCTTTTTAAATTATTTCCACTTTTAAACACAGTTTCTTTTACATTTTCATTTTTACTTGACTTAAAGTCATTGTCAGAAACAGAAGAAATTGTATCCAACTTCCCTGTATTCTGCCTACGTTCTATTTTATTTATATTACATTTTACTTCTTTCTTAATGTTTTCTAAAATGATCACTTCCTCATTTTTACTTTCCTTTTGATCAGAATTTGTAATATCCTGTGCATCTTTAATGTTGTCCTTTGTATCCGCAATGGCAACTTTATTTGTTTCCTTGTTAATGTTATCAATTAGATTATGTCCTTTTTGGACATTTGCTGATTGTGAATTTTCTTCTTGTGATTCATTTGTAATTGAATTTTGTAGATACGAGGAACCTGTAAGATCTTTCTGCGCCTCTACCGATGTCATTTTGATGTCATTTTATTGCATGCATTTAGTTGAATATATGTTTACCTAAACACAATGTTGAAAACAACATAATTGTTCTTCTCCAGATATAAAAGATTATTTATATATTTAAAAGGAAAGTTCTTCAAGTTCAATATATGTAATATTGAAGAAATATACAAGAAATATATATATTCAGTAGATAAGTTAGAATTCTTAAGAAACTTTAAGAAATAGAATAAGGGACAAACATAGAAATAAGCTTTGTGAAATAAGCTTAATGAAAAATATTTACCAATGTTTTGTTTTATGTTCGATCAAAGTACTTTAATAATCTTTTAATTGTTAAATTAATAGATAAAAATGTCTTTGTCTACTTATTCCTATAGTTTTTAGTTTAGTACAAAATAAATAGGAATAACAAATGTTGTTCCAATAATATTATTATATTGCATATTGATTAACAACAATATGATAGAACACATAATAATAGTAAGGTGAACATAGGAGATTTTAAAATATATCCACTACTATAATATGCAGATAAAACAATTACCATCTGTATAGAATTTATATAGGAATCCGAAAATAAAATTAATAAAGTTATTTTCAATGATTTCTGTAACTTTTAAAATGTATCCAACAGGTCAAGTAAATCACTTTCTATATAAATCCCAAACAACAAGGAAAGCGAAATATACCACTCACTAACACGACATTGCATCAAAAGCATGAACATTCTTTCTCCCCTCCAATGTCCAGGATCCTTACTACCAGTGCCTCCATCCCTCGGTAATGTTTGTAATTAATTACAAAAAGCGCAACATGATATTTGAAATTTACAGCACAGACGAACACATCGGATCATAGAGATATAAAGATAGAGTGTGTAAGTAAGCTGAAAAAGTGACATAGGAATAGAAAGAGAACGCTACTTATGTCTTTTTCTAATAACGCACGCATATTACATATTTGTATAATAAATATATCATAAATATATCAACGAGTCACGTCAGTGTACATGCCTGATTTGGCAAGGACTAAAAGAGGACTCTGTGCAGCGTTCCTATTCCATTATTTACACGGTAACATACGGCTTATGTATCTATCTTTCTCTATGATACAGAATAGACCTTGCATCATCGACGAGGTACAGAATAAACCTAGAGCTTATGAAACTTTTCGTCGCATGTTCTGAAATACCGATCGTGTAAAAAATCAGAAGGTTGCTTTGCCTTCTACAATTTAGAGTAGTGAATTTAGGGATTATCTTGGATCCAACTACCAAAATTGGTAAAGTCAATAGAAGTAAAAAGATGGTAGAAGTAGAAATACTGCCAAAGGCATAGCATTGACGAAGTACAGAATAGACAATCAATGTTTTTCGTGCCCCATGTTTTGGGGATCATCTGACCCCTTATACCATTTTCGCATCACATGCTATATTATCGATTTCATATAATAGTGGTGGGGGTAAGACTTTTAGTGTCTGAACCACGATCATATACATAGGTCTGAAACTTCAATGGAAGAGGTAACTATTTAATATCGGGAGTAGTATTTTACAAATCGACCACCATAAAACGCTACGATCGAGAAGTTAGGATTTTGTATTTAACGCCATCCTTTGGTGAAAGTATTAAAGGTAAAGAATATAAACTAAACTTCAACTTACTAAGTGACTAAATTAAAGTATTTTTTATAACTTGTCACCATTTATCTGAAGTAAGTACATGCGCAATATTTCATTTGGTACAGAAAAATGTCTCTAAATGAGTATTAATTATGAATCTTTATTAAATATGTATCGTTCCCAATAAAAAAGTTTAACAAAATTAGAACTTCCAAATCAAATATGTACACATATATTTAATACTTTTATATCTGATGCGTGTATTTGAAATTAAATTTGTTTTTAGCTTTGTTTAATTTATTAAAAAATTCTGTAACTATCAACACTATTTATAATACATGTAAATAATATCATGTTTAAAATATTCATGATTGAAACATTTCGATGTTTCAACTTACTTTACCAATTTTATTTGTTCAGTTAAATATAATTCTAGCACCCATGACTGTAAATCGTAGAAGGCACAAGAAATACTCTGATTTTTTACACGATCGGTATTTCAGAAGATAGGGGACAAAGTCCCATAAGATGCGAGGTTTATGCTGTATACTTGTCTATGGTATGAATTAAACTTATCTATTTTTTCGGTATGAAATTAATATTTATTTGCAATAAATAGTTTGTGGATCAGTAAAAAAAATATATACATATATTTATCAAATTTTTATTATAAAATTTGGTCGCTTAAAAAATAAAAACGTTCGTATTTCAGTCATAAAGTACAAAAGTACGTATTTTTATCCTATAGTTGTATTCTATATTAATTTACAATCGATAATTGCAGAGACTCATTATATAGAATTATCTTCCTTATAGTATGCTGTGAATTCTGCAACAACATGTGCATTGTATTCACTAAATTATATTGTTCGAAGTGATCAAAGAATTACCTTGGAATCAGTATATAAATACGTAAATTATAAATTGTTTAAGAACGCGACTCCTGAGTCACTCCAAACCGTACATAATCATATTATACGTTCATTAAAATACGGTTTACATTTATTAACAGACTTATCTATACTAGTAACTGTATCGTTACTATACTGCGATTATAATATTTATATGAATACAATGTTTATATAAAAATGCACGTGTCATGAATGAATCTTACTAGTTACTACTAGTTACTACTTTTATCCGAGTTGCAACAATGTTCCATTGTTTTAATCAAGCAATTATAGATATGTACGCGTAACATAATTTTACTAGTACGTTACAACTGGCTTTAGAGTTTAATGATAAACAATGCAATACAATAGTAACGCGTAACATAATTTTACTAGTACGTTACAAATGACTTTGGAGTTTAATGATAAATACATTTATGTATTCTATCCGATGAACGAATGATAAATTAATAAATTAATGAATGACTTACGTTCCTTATGATACGAGAAACAATTTATTAATTTGATTAGAATCGGAGTGCTCCAATCTGGTTCCAGTTTATTTAGCTTTTCGCAATATAAAGTTGAATTTCCATGGGATCGTGTTGAAAAAGCGTTGCGTCTAAAAATATATTACATTGGTTCATTATCGTTAGTTTGGAATATTGACTTATTCGAATGTATGTTATAATATATATATATATATTATATATATGCCTGTAACAGTACGTTTTCCGTGTTATCATTGGTATTATCATTGGTACTATTGTTAGTATACTGCCGCGTTTCTTCATTTCTTCTCATTATACGAACTGGTCTATAGTTGTTGTATATAATGACTAAGCAGTCGGGGATTAGACAAATCATAACAATGACGATGGTTAAGAACCAGAATGTTATCGACGATAATAACGTCGGGAAAACTTTCAGCATATCGCCGTCATATCGTCTGCGAAATAAATGTAAAAGATATCTCAGAGAAATGGGACAAAATTATAGATTTCACAATTGCGAAGTTTGTAATATTCTTACTTACACGTGCACGAATGAATAAAGAATCGCAAATACAAGGAATGTTAGTTCCGATAATGTTACTGATAGTACGAGGGGTAGTGTCCAATAGCAACTACGCAATAGTATCTAAAAATTGGAAATCATAGAGAACTTCGTGTAACGTATTTTCCTATGAAATAAAAATATTATATTTGGTATACCTGCACATTGGCCACTAATGTAACTAAATGAAAAACAAATGTACTAAATGCCCACTGATCTATTGATGTATTATTATGCAGTATAACAGGATTGATGGATATGTACACATGTGACATATAATATATGACAAGGGTATGCCATATAGCTGGAAGAATATATTAGGTTTAGATCGTGAAATCTTCTGAAGTTTGATCATTGTTAATGAATTATCTACTTTACCTAGAGCGCTCCATACAAAAAATTGCCATTTAGTTAATAAATAATTGTGCCGATGTAATTTGTACAAATATGGTTGGCATAATAGTTTATCGGCAGTGAAGTTCTGTTCGAACAATCCGTACGCCAATATCGGCAACGATGTAAATAAGACATTGAAAAGCATTAAGAACAATGCATCGTAAAATGCCTGAAAATACGTAGATCGTAAAATGAAATCATTTGCATATAATTGTAAGTGAACATCTGTTTCAAAATTGTTTTACCTGTGCAGAAAAGCCGCAATATGTGTTGTACAACACTTGCGGTGTAATGAAGATAAAATTCTTGTAAAAAAAATACTGCGTCAAAGTGCTGACTCTTACATAGTACCAATGTCCGTGTACCAGTAGAACCTTTTTTAAAAATTTAAATTTCGCTATCGCGAAATCGGAGCACATAGTCGCTTGTCGACCTTCTTTGCCCATTATTCCGATTCCGACATGGGCTTCTTGTATCATCGAGACATCGTTTCCTCCGTCGCCAACGGCCGCGGTGTGCGGTTTATTCTTTGCTTTTTTAACCAGGCTTACAATCTGCATACATTTAAGAAAATCTTATAAACATTAAAAATCAAAAAGCATTATATAAACATTATAAACATTATACTTGGCTTTTTTGCAATGGCGTTAGCCTGCAACAAACAACTGCATCGCAGGCCATTGCAACTGATCTGAATTGTGCCGCATGGTCCCTTAGTGCAGTTGCAATACTGCAGCCATCGACTAGCAATCCGTATTGTCTGTAAGGTTCGAGGATAATTCTTCGCCTGGAATCGTATGAAACCAAATAGAATAACAGTATGAATTAAAGTTGGAATGATCGTATGAAAAATAATTAAATTGTACCTACTCAAAATTCGTAAGTTTAACTAGACAAGTTTGCCCTATGGTTACTTCTAGCATTCTTAGTACTTCGGTACCACTCTTGAATTGACCACAAAGAAACGCTATATTTTCCGCAGTTTCTGCTTTGTCGCCAGTCAACACCCACACCTAAATAAAAAAGAAATCGTGTGATCTTGACAGAGTCTGTCTTCTTTTTTTCTTCTTGTTCTTGGTATTAATCCTACGAACTTTAATACCGGCTACTTGCAAGCACTCCAATGTTTCCGGCACATCTTCTTGAAGACGATCCTCAACAGCGGTCACACCTAACAGAGTGAGCCCGCTTTCCATCTGATCATAAGCTCGCTGCATGTATACCGCTCGTTCCATTCCAATTATTTGTCTAGCTTGTTCCACTCTCTGTAATAGTCGATCGTATTCGATTTGGCTCATTTTCTTATAGCCAACAACTAGGGTTCGAAGACCTCTCTAAAAAATTTGTTAACGATACATATAGGAAGTAGGAAGTAACGATCGAATTCACAGTAATGAAAGTGCACGAATTTAGTGCAAGAATCGACTAACCATTGAAAAATCGGCCACGTGTGTGATAGCTTCGTTGATTTTGCCTGAGACAATCAGTGGTAACATAGCGGAGTCGGCCCCTTTGCAATATAACCAGAAATCTCCAGCAGTGTCTTTCACTATAACCGACATCCTTTTGCGTTCTATTGACAAAGAATTAGCGATTTAAAAAACCTGCGATTTCATTGACGATTCTATAGATCTTCGAATACTAACCGGAAGTAAATTCTAAAACTTCGAGCTTTTCGTAGGTCAAGATATTCTTATAAATTTTCAACTCTATCACGTCGTTGGTGCATTTTTGGAAGACCACTCCGCATCTGGCACTGGCCTCGACCAAAGCTTTTTCGTCTGCT